GGGGGGTAAGAATCCCCCCTCCCCATGAACCTGAGATTTATATTAAATTTCAAAATTGTTGTATTTGATTTGATGTTCCAATAATAGAACACATAATTTTATTATAATTTTTCATAAAAACACTTTGGTAACTGTAGTTTTATTTTAGAGAGCAAATATGTATGAAAATTACGTTGAGAAGCATTTGGAATACTTAATAGCTATATATATTAATAGTTTAATTTACATCATGTCAAAATCACGTCATGGCTGTCGTTTAAATTTTAATTATTGACTATAGAAGCAAGCTAATTAAAATATTTAAGCCATTGATTTTCAAAATAATTGAATAATCTTCTTTGTTTGAAATTATTTTTTTTTAATGAATGTCATACAGATCTGAATAAATATATAAATCATTCATAAAAAAAAATAAACGCTAGGAGTCCAGGGGCGTCATTTGGGGTATTGCAAGGTATGCTCATGCATACCTAAAATTTATCAAAATGCAATTTGGCCTGGCTATAATTTTTCTGCGCCGGGCAAAAATTATTCTTTTTTTATTTATAATTGGTCTCAAGCATCGGCATCCATCATATTATAATATATATAACTATAAGGTGCCGTAGTAGGTATGTTGCTTGTGTTATGTTGAACTTTTGGAACATAGTTTAGTTCAAATAACCTATATATAGGTAGCAGCGCCGGACAAATTAGTGTCTAGCATAGATAAGTATAATATGGGGGCTAGGGACTGCGGCTAATCACTACGCTCAATAATACAACATGCTAAAATTAAACCGTTGATATTATTAATATTTTATATTATTATATATGTAATTTTAAAATACGATTATGGACTGTGGTTGCGAGTTAACGACAATGTCTGGAACGTCATAACAATTTCTGCGAACTGTACTTCTCAACTGTCCCCGCCAATCACAATCACAATAATAGATTTACTATGACATTGCTGTGTTCACCATGGGTACTTCAGAAGATAACTTTAAAAATAGATTTAATATTATTATTTTATAGTTCCACGTTATAATGTAATCAATTGTCATTTGTCACTCGTTACTCATCAGTGTTGGTTTGAAATTTAAAATATTGTGCATTAGTGTTATTATTTATTATTTAGTTTATTACGTTGAAATTTTGTACGTGCTGTGTGTACCCATGTACCTATCCAGTCATCTAGAATCCAGATCTCATTGTATTAAAACATAATGAATAAACGAAAAGGTGGTGCAGCACGTCTTCGGGAGAAAAATAAAAAACTACTTTTGTATTTGGCCAATTTTAATATGAAAGTAGATTCGTTTTTTATACAGAGCAGTAAGGTAAGTTAGTCTATACTCAGTATAGTAATAGTCCACCCTTACCTATAAACAATGGGTATAAATATAATGTGTAGGTACTAAGTAATTTTTTCAGTCTCAGATATCTAATATTGGAGTAGACAAGCAAAATGATTCTTGTATAAATGTAATAAATAACAACGATGATGTTGAAATAATTATCCCTACACAAAGTTCTACATTTTCAAATTAATTGATAAATACATCTGTAAGTACATTTTTAAAGTATAAAATACATTTTATGTGTAGTTAAAACAATTATAATTTTTTCAATCTAAGATTTCTGGTATTAAAATAGACAAGCAAAATGATTCTTGTATAAATGTAATAAGTTATGATGATGTTGAAGTAATTATGCCTACACAAAGTTCTACATTTTCAAATTCATTGATAAATACATTGTTATTAATAATACATGGCGATCAAACAGAGAAGTAAGATTACTCAAAAAATTATCAACTTTTAAATTTATTATAATTTTGGAGGTAATGGTTAATGTCCTTGAATGTATATATTGTTTGTCATGTGAACTTCAAAATTCAAATATTATTCTATCAAAGGCCATGTTATTAGTGAAATATTCAAGGAATAATATCTTAAAATTGCGCTGTGAAGAATCGTGGTTGAAATTTCATCAAAAAGCAATTGATATAGCAATTTGTAATGGCATAAAAATGCAAACCCATAATAAGCACGAGAAAAGAAAACAGACTTTCAATAAACATTTGAATGATTATTTTGTACAAACCACTCTGGGAAGAGATAAAAATAAAGAAAAAGATATTTCGAGTATGAAAGTTGAGCTTTTGTATCATGTAGTTGATAGGTATTTATTACATATCTAATTAATAACTTCATCAAATTAATTAATTCACAAAAGTATGTTATTTTTTAGGATTTTAACGCAGTTAGATGAACGTTTTTCAAAAAATGATCAAGTTTTTGACATACCTATTTAATGTATTTGACTATACAAATGCTGACTTTCTTCATGCAGAATGTGGTACTATTAATTAGTTCTTATACCACTACAAAAGTTTTCAAATTAATACTTTGAACTTGTCATCAGAATTTTCTTCAATAAAGGCAACATTAGAACTAGAAAACAATTCCCAATTTAAATTAGAATTAATATTAAATATTGTTTTAAATCTACCATTTGCATTTCCTGAAACAACAAAAATATTGTCCATAATGTTAACATTACCAGTGATAACAGCATCTAATGAACGTTTCTTTTCTTCACTGAAAGGGATAAAAAATTTCTTAAGAACATCAATTGGTGGTGAAAGATTAAACGATTTAATGGTTCTTGGAGTTGAAATCGAAGAAGCAAATCAAATTAATTTGAACGATGCAGTTGATGATTTTGCAAAAATGAAAGTCAGAAGGTACCCACTGTACCAATAGTAAACATAATTAAATTATTTTTTTTAATATGTATTAATATATTATTATTTAAATGAAATAATTTAAAAATAAATGTTTGGTTTATATTAAATAACTTATGTGTGATTAAAAATTTCAGGATTTGATTTATTTTCAGTGTCTAAAAAAAAAAAAAAAAAAAAAAAATAGTACAATTTAAAATAAAACAAAGTAGATATTGAGTATTGACTTGGGATTATTAGGTAGGTATATACAATATACAATATTGATATATTAAATCATTATATTGTCGAAGAATGAAATTGTTGAGCGTAGCGAGAAAATTTTTTTTCTAATAACTAGTATATAATACATTGGCCTGCCTTGTTTTTAGCATACCTTTCAAAAAGTTGAAATAACGCCCCTGTAGGAGTCGAAAAGTATCAACACAATGGATTATTATCGCAGTCGTAGACGGTACGCGAAGAACATTCATTATTTTGTTTATAATCAGCTTTGCCGGTTATCTGATATCCAATTTAATCAATTAAACCTTATTGTACAGTTAACAATGCGTAAACATTTTTTTTAAAAAATACATGTATACATTGTACAATAAACGCACGCACGCAAACACTATTGTTAAGGTGTACACACACTTGAACATTTCACCGTAACGTAACATTGCAATGTAACTTTAATGCTCAAATGTGTACGCATCGTTACTAGATTTGACTTACTTATATGGGGAGGGGGGATGACTCAAATTTTTTCTTTAATTCAGGCTCAAAATTTACAAGTCAAATTTTGGAAATATTTAAATCGGGTGAATCCTTAATATTTGTGATTTTTTTTTTTAATTTAATGTCGGATCCACTTAGAATCGACTTTGATGTGGTTATTTTTTAACACCTGTCTTTAAAAAGCCGATAAAAAGCCCAATTCAGTATTCACAGCCATGCGTAATTTGATTTCATTATAAAATGATCCATGTTAAATAATTTGTAATGTGTATCTCACATACTCGTATAATCGATTCCTTAATACGGATTCAGGGGGGTCATCGTCCCCTTCGTCCACCCTAAAATACGCCCCTGGTCGTTACTGTATCATTGGGGCGTGCTCTGTTCGCGACGTCGACACTACACTGGGCTGTCGGTTTTTTGACGAACATCAATTTATATTACATAACGTCCCAAGTATGTACGGTAAACCAATAATTGGTAATTATTATTATTATTACCAATAATTATTGCTCGTCGCGAGTAATCGCTGACAGATGTGTTTTTAGTTAAACTAATTTTTATTTTATTAATTGTTAATTATTATTACTATAATTACTATTATCGGTAGTATATTTTATAAAAAAAAAAAAATACGGAATGCAACAGTTCTTCATTTTATCGAATTGCATAAAAATAAAACTATGTTATGGGATCCTAAATATTAAGAACTCTAAATATTAAAAAAAAAATTGGCCGATGCGTGGGAGGAATTAGCTGCTGAAATGAATACTACCGCGGTGGAGTGCAAAAAAAAAATTACTAGTTTATTGGCTTCTTTTCGTAGGGAAAAAATGAAAATAAGAAATAATCATGGAACCGGTACAGGTAATAATAAAAATGTTTAGTAAATCTGATCCACTAAACGAATTCCTTGATTTACATAAACGTGTTTGCCATTATCTTCTATTTCTTATTCGTTTTTTCTTTTTGTCATTAAAATAAAAGCCGCGCTAACAACTTTTAAATTAGCCATACGTGCGTACACTCGGACGTTGGGTGAAAATGGATCAACTGCGAACAACTCATTCGGTGTAGTGGTCGCCGCGAACGTAAAGACTTGTCGTGTAACGTAACACGTAACAGCGAACACACAAGAACTTTGTTAGGTACACTACGGCGTCACGTTACACGTGAATGCTCCGGTGTGCGCCCGGAACGCGAAGTACGTTTCAAGCGATCGTTTTCGGGAATCGCGCGACATCAAAACGTTCGAACGTTGCGCGTCAAGACGTGCGGGCCCGAACGATGTGTACACGTGTGTGTTACGCCGTCGACGAGTGCGACCGCGTGCGCGCGATAAGAAATTCCGTGACGCGTCGCTACGATTGCGGGCCGGGCGAACGAGTGGACCGGCGACGGAGCGGGACGGGGAGAACGCGACCGATATCGCGGCTGTTGAAACGTACGCGCGTCCCAAGATTAATAGATAATATTGGTTATCATCTATGAACCTCGCGCGTGTACCGCTCGGGACCACGACGAAACCCGTCGGGTTTGTTGCAACAGCCGTCGTTATCGTCGTTTCGGTATCACCGCGGTACGTGCGTTATCGTCGCGGGTGAACACTTCGAACGGTCGCTGTCGTTCGAACGTTGCTATCCGCGGTCCACTCGTCCGTCGCGCACGTTCCCGGTGCCACGTGTCCAACAGCGGTGAAACGACGCAAGGCACTCGACCCCCTCGGTTTTCAATACGAACGCGGTTCCGTTCCGTTTCCACCGACTTCGATCGTCGCGTTCGGCAGCGGTCCGTGGCAGTACGTGCGAGACGGTACGATATCCGTCCGGCGGCCGATGACAGCGAACGCGGTGGGTACCGACATCATCTGGACCAGAACAAAAACGTGAGTAAATCGTATCCGTCGCTGTGGTCTTGCCCAGGGCCGGACCGGGCCGGTAGAGTAGCTGGCCGCTTAAGAGCCGGTGCCCGATGGCTGGTTCCTATTACGCGTTACGCTTACGCCTAACTTAATTACAAAATATAATTGGCTAGAAATTGAAACCGTCCGATAAAACGGTGTTATCAATAATCATAATCACGGTCTATTATCTACTACGACCGTCGTGATATCGAGATCGTAGAGTTAATTATCACGGACGAAAATAATAGAGGACTAGTTTTGGATTGCCATAAACTTATAAGGCCAAGCCGGAACAAAACAAACAAATTATTGAGTATTATATTTTTTATATAACTTTTAATATATTAAGAGGACCAGTGGCGTAAACAAAGGAGGGATGTGGAGATCAGATCCCCCCTAGGCCTTTTTTTAAATGTTATAAAATAATGTTCTTAGTGTGAGGGCGTTAGAAACGTAAAAAAAAATAATGATTTGTTTCCAAATGATTGCCCCCCCCCCCATAAAAAGTTACGTATACGTCACTGAAGAGGATCATTAATGGCCGGCAGTATAATATATAATAATTTTTTTGTAAAATAAAATGTATTATATGTGTAAATTACAAATTATGTTTTTATTTTATATTGTTAATCGATTACAATTAAAAATATATTTGAGATAAACTGGTCGAAATTAAAAATTAAACAATACTACATTTCCTCTAGACATCTAAGCGGGACACATAGACGTTCCGATAACATTTTTCGGGACACCGGAACACGAAGTCTAAAACCGATGACAATCCTGGTTTTCCGGGACGTATGGCAACCCTAGATTAGTTGGAACAGGTTGGAGGGTGTGGGCGAAATCGCCATAAAAGTATATAGAATTTGATGGTGCGCCCAAGATGCGTGGCGAATTTAATCGTCTTCAATCGCATATAAGAGAAAATCCTAAAAGCGTATATATATATGGTGCTATGCGCATATGTTGGATTTGTGACTCCTGCTCTAATATTCTTGGATATTCGTCAACTTCGTTATTAAAATTATTATCTTAGATTATTTTACTTATTGACTTATATATTTTTAATTTTGGTAATACCTTTAAAAATAGACTAAAGCCTAAATATATTATCTAACAACTATTTACGAATGTTATTTTCATAACCTTTGGAAAGAATTGTAAAAAAAATAGGAACTTAAACCCTATAGCTTTCTTAATATTTCGGGGATAATTTAGGACTACTATTATTTTGAGGATAGTGGGCCGGATCCTACTCAGCCCGCCCCTGGTGTCGCCCCCTCCACATTTTACCCGTGGATACGTTAGTTTTAACGTGACACTTGCGTACCTATTGCAGGACGGAAAAAAAGTGTCCGTGTACTATGTTGTATTCAGGATTAGGATGTTTACGAGAAATTTAAAACGCTAAAAAAATGCATGCAAATATAACATTAAAAAAAAAATCAGATACGACATTTAAAATGTTTATCATTAATTGAAAATGTCAGTTTTCTTTACTCAAAATAAGCTGTAAAAAAGTGAAATGGTAAAATATTAATATTTCTCTTACAATTTATATAACTATTTATTATTGATTTTTTTTGACTCGGAAGATACAAATGTATATACAAGTGCGTCACTGCTTTGCTTCGAAATCCCCTTGAATGTTTTGCATTATGTCACTTGCAAAATGTTGTAAAGTAATTTTGTTCTCAGTTGCAATTTTTACTCCAAATACTTTACACAATAACACTGAACCATTTATTGAATATACATCCTCTCCTAACTCGGAGACAAATCTGCGCAGTCGAACAGCTTCCGATCATTAAATTTTGAACCGTCAACATATAGAGGTTAGATTCCCCATAATATAATTAGTAATTATTCTAATATAAAGGAAAGATTACTGAAATTCAATTCATTAAACACACGTGCTACAATTATTAAAAAAATTAAATGTTCTTAAAATTATATTTTATTTTTTTGTTGTGTAAATTAATCTTATAATGTAAATTTATATTTTTTTCTTAACTAAATATATGATTTCAAAATAAATTATTAATTAATAATATTATATGATTACTATATAAATCGGTAGTTTAAAAAAAAAAAAAAAAAACGTTAAGAATATTTTAAGTTGTTAACAAAAATAATTAACTAGCCGAAAAAAGAAACGTTCATTTTAACCGATAAATGTCCTAACCCCCTCCGAGAGACTATCGTCTCAAATTTTTATACAAAATTATTTTATAATCTTAGTCGTTGTATCAGAAGAATCGATCAGCCCTGGGGCCCTCAAAAGTTTTCGCCTTCCCTCCATGTACATTAGTTATTAGTTTTTCAAATCGTGTAAGTACGTAAAATACGAATAACAATTTATCATCGAATCTCTATAGTCGTTATATACTTACTTAAATAACTTAATTTTATAATCGTTTTTTTTTTTATATTCTTCTCTTTTCAATAATTACTATCCAAATTATTGATTAAGAATGTGCCAAGGTTTCAAAAAATAGCTTGATACCATAATATTCAAACAGAAATAATAAATATTTTGATACTTATTTGATAACAGTAATTAGTATTTCTAACGATTTTAGTAGTCAATAATAATGAAGGGTTAATAATTTTAATCAGTGATTAAAAATAATGCAGAAACTATGTTATCGTTATGGACTAATTAACGTAACGGATTAATTAATTAGTTAACTATTATACAATTTATTAATTAAACATCCATACAAATTATATTTGTATCTACTATAAATAATTTATTTTCTCAAGACAGATATCCAGGTTAACATGGATCCGACAATATTAAATGAAAAAATGTATCTATTAGATGGAAGTTTTATTAGTGGCGTCACACCTTATATAGACATTGACAGCGTCAAGAAGCATCCACTTTGGGGATCAAATTTACTATTCAATGACGAACAAGCTGTAATCAATAGCCATAAAGACTATATCAGAGGTATTTACTATTAGGTATAATTTATACATTATAATCTAAAAAGAATTTATTTTTAATTTTTGTTTTATAATAACATTATAATAGCTGGAGCTGAATTTCTAACAACTAATACGTACCAAGCAAGTATTGGAGGTTTTATGAAATATTTAAATTTAGACTACGAACAAAGTTACGAGTTAATTAAAAAATCTGTTACAATTTGTAAACAAGCGATAGCGGAAGAAAATTCTGGTGAGCATTGATATTATAATATATTTAATTTTAGCAAATATAAATAATTATAATCACATACGTTTTCATGTTTATGATTCCACGTAATTTGATTGCGGTAAAATAAGCGCGAGATTATCACGAGCAATTTAATCGCATAAATTAAAAGAGCGGAGGTTAAAAGAGCTTGAAGTTGATGTATAAATTAAAATACATTATAATTTCATTATTAGTTTTATGATTATGGCGTTTAAATTGCTCGAACTATTTATGTACCGCGATTAAACTGTTGGCGACCAAATTACCCCGCTCTTATGACACGCGTACATTTTACCACGACCAAATGACGCGACACCTTGAATTATTGTATTTAAATTAATTCATAGAGCGAAATATCCGAATAATGGGATCTGTTGGTCCATACGGTGCTTGGTTATGTGATGGTTCAGAATATCATGGAAATTATATAGTTAATTTACCTTACAAAGAACTATACGACTGGCACAAACCTCGAATTCAAGCGTTGATAGAGGCTGGAATTGATGTCGTACTTTTCGAAACCATTCCTTCGGTTGACGAAGCAATTATTTTATTGGACATACTAACCGAGTTTCCATTTCAAAAAGCATGTTTATCGTTCTCGTGTAAAGTAATTATTTTATTTTATCTTTTTATTATTAATATTCTATTATTATCTGTGAATTCCAATGTACATTAGACAATAAAATACTTACAGTATAGATAGTAAGAAACTAGCCTGTAATACATTTAATTATGCTTGTTGCTCTAACCAATGCCGTACATTAAAATTAAATGATTCAAGTCCCTAGTAAAAATGTACTATTTTTATACACAAATATAAAAGTGAATAAATAAGTAGGTGTAATAAGTATTAGAAAAATAAAAAAATAAATATTTTTAATCCATTAATAATAATAGTATTGATTATATATTACTAAGTAATACTATTAGTAATATATAGAGCAAGGACTTTCATGCATTTACATATTTTTTCTGGTTCACTTTATCGTATGCTTGTTAAGTACAAAATACATTTCATAACGTTTATGATGAAATACTCAAAGTTTTTAATGCATATTTTTGCATATTTGGACATTTTTTAGTTTAAGGGGTATATTTTTGATTATAAGAGCATATTTTAAGCTTTTAGTGCATATTTTAATGGTTTATCGAAAATCAAGCTCTTTGGTGAATATTTTTCATGAACTAATGTCAACAATTGTTGTAAACTCATAAAGACGATAAAGATAAATGTTATCTTGAAATAATAATAATGGTCAGTAGGTATTTATTAAGACTATTTTTGTATTTTTAACGAGTAGTAGGTACGTGGTATAAAAACGATAGTATCAAGTGTCTATAGTCAGTGGGTAGATTAGATTCGCATTAGTTCTAGAACATTCATCGCGTGTGTGTTATAGTTTTGTATGTTTAATTTTCATATAACGTTCATGTGTTTAATTTTAGTCACTCTATCAATATGCCAAAAGAAAAATCGACAAAAGCTTATCGTTTGTGTAATTTTGTAATCGAGTTTGGTGAATCTGTATTTTCAACTGATAATCTTATTTTATTTTGTAAAATCTGTAACGTGAAAGTAGCAAATTAAAAACGTTTTAGTATCATACAACACCTAAAAACTGAAAAACACATCAGAAGTGCAGCACGTTTAGAAAACAATAAAACAAATAATGTGCAACAATTGATTACAAATCAAAAATCAAAACTATCGGAATTCAATTCAGATTTATGTAAAACTTTGCTATCTGCAAATATACCACTCTATAAACTAAAAAACACTCATTTTAAGAGTTTTTTAGAAAAATATATGCAAATAGATATACCTGACGAATCGACACTTCGAAAATATTATGTAAACGATTGTTACAATCAGACAATGGATTAAATAAGGGTCACTGTCCAGGATAAAAAAATATGGGTGTCAATTGATGAGACTACCGACAGCAATGGAAGGTATGTAGTTAATGTAATAATTGGTACACTAGAAATTGATTGTCCTCGAGAAATTATGTTGTTGACATCTAAGGTGTTGGAAAAAGTTAATCATTCGACAATAGCAAAGTTATTTGATAAATCAATGGCTTTATTATGGCCCAACGGTGTTCAGCATGACGATATTTTACTTTTTGTTAGTGACGCAGCACCATATATGGTTAAATCGGCATCTGTAATAAAAGTTTTTTATTCTAAAATGGTCCACATTACATGTTTGGCTCATGGTCTTCACAGGGTTGCAGAGGAGATTCGTAACATGTTTCCAAAAGTAGACAAACTAATTTCAAATGTTAAAAAAACTTTTTTAAAAGCACCATATCGAGTCCAAATTTTTAAAAACGAAGCTCCTGAAGTAATGCTCCCACCTGAACCTATAATTACTCGTTGGGGGACGTGGTTAGATGCAACAGACTATTATTGTAAACATATACAAAGCATTCGAAATGTTTTTATGAAGTTGGATGACGATTCAGCTTCTATATTAAAAGTAAAAAATATTTTGGATGACCAACAATTAGACGCAAACTTGGTTTGTATTATAGCAAACTTTGGAATTATATCTAAATCGATTACCCAGCTTGAAAAACGTGGATTAAAACTAGTAGTCGATTCAATTAACATTGTAAACAGAATGATAGACAATATGAACATAATTGATACACAATCGAAGAGTAGTGGAAAAACTTAAAAAAGTAATAGAAAAAAACAAAGGTTTCAATACGCTTCGTATAATTTCAAATATTTTAAATGACACTGAGGAAAACATTGATGAATTAGGAGATTTGAATGCTAGTGAAATGGTTTACTTCAAATATGCACCGATCACGTCAGTGGACGTCGAACGAAGTTTTTCGCAATATAAGAACCTGCTGACAGATAAAAGACGTTCTCTGCTATTTGAAAATATCAAAGAAATGTTAATAATTCAGTGCAGTTCTAATTTAGGTAAGGTAAATATTCGAGAATAATTCAACAATTATTTTAACATACCTTTATGTGTAGAATAATAATTAAGAAGAATGGGATCCAACATTATATACATATTATAACTTTATTTTATATAGAATAATAATAAAATTAATTTTTTTAAGGGCATATTTAACCGCATATTTTTAATTTTTTGATGCATAAGTGCATATTTTTAAATGCATATTTGATGATTTTTTAGTGCATGAAAGTCCTTGCTCTAGTAATATATAATCAATGATAATAGCAATAAAATATTTTTTGTCTCCATATGGTATTTTATTGGTGTTGCAAAATAAATAATTTTTGTGTGAATGACAATATTAATATTTTTCTATGTATTAACACACGTTAATAATTCTCATGGAATCTGTAGCATTCGGAATTGGAGTTAAAATAATCATACTTATAATTCTACGCCTGAAAAAAATTTTCATCAATAAATAAACATCACGTTTTGTATGTTTTACAACAATTTAAAAAAATAATAGAAGTGTATTTCTTCCATTTTTTCTGGAGCACACTTAATTGAAAATAAAATAGATGTTCAAAATGTTCAAAAATATACATTGGCATTATTTTAGTATAATTTGTGTGATGCATAACGCATTAGTATTATATTTTTATCGGTGTTCATATTTTGTATATAGGACGGTAATCACCTGAGTCATGGAGAAACGTTTGCAAGTGCCGTTGAAAAATTATGGACAAATGATTCCCGAAAACAGCTAATCGCTATCGGTATGAATTGCATGAATCCCAAGCTTATAACGCCACTTTTGATGTCCGTAAATACTGAAAATGTTAATTTTATTTGTTACCCAAATAGAGGTGGAGTATGGAACGCCTCATTGAAACGGTAATTGTTCATATAATCTTTCTTTTCTTTTTTTTTCTATTATAACTTCATTGACATTTTTTTCAGTTGGGACGATTCCCAAAAGTATACAATTTCCACCGACGATATAAATTTATGGAGAAAAAAAGGATTGAGAATATTTGGTGGTTGTTGTAATACTGATGCTGCTGAAATCTCATATTTTAGAAAATTGATTGACGCATTACCTATCTTTTTAGAGCAATAAAATACATTGTAAATTTCTGGATCGGTATGAAAATATTAATGTTTCCTAATAAACATATATTTTACATGGTAAAAAATGTGTACAACAGTAACCTTTATTATTTTAAAATAATATTATTTCTTGACTAGTCAATGTGTATGAAAAATATACAGAAATAATCATGTGTGTCAGTGTCTAACGCTCAGATGTTAAACAAAAATATGATATTAATGCATTTCTGAGTAATAACTTATTATTATTTTTTTTTTATCACTTTTTAGAATTTAAATTTCGAATTTATAATCTGAAGAACTTTCAGTATTCAAACTTATGTACTATATTATAATATGAAGGTAAAACAAAATACAGAAACTTTATTTTATTTTTAAACATTATTATATTTAATATTGACTATAGTAATAAATAATAATTTGATCCCTCACAAAATTCAATTAGACTAAATATAATTCTCTATAGTAGATAACTAGATTATAACTTATATTTTATAGGTATTTTTAGTCACAGTTACAAATATTATTTAACTAAATCATTAAATTTATTAGAGATAACAAATAAGGGCGATTGTAAACTCCACCAGAATATTGGTGAAGATAAAAAGGTAATTAAAGGTCTAGTGTAAACTCCACAAGTTTTTTTTTCTTACCTGTAATGGGTATGTAAACTTTGCCAGTTTTTTTTGTTTATCTGCTCAGTGCTCACATTGCCACGTGCCTTCTCACATTAAATATGTTGATATCTATTGCGATGATTTTTTTTTTTTACTGTGATTAAAATATTTAATGTGAACGATTTTTAATTATTATTATGAAAAATATGATTTTATATTATTAGGTTATAACGATTATTTGTTATAATTATTTTACTATGATTTAAATATTTTATATGAACGATATAATATTATATAATATTATAATTTAAGTGTAATAATATATCATATTAAGTTTATACTACTACTCGATTTTCTTCATTGGTGGAGTTTACATGTACTCAATTTTACCTGACTTTTTTAGTGATGGAGTTTACATGAACCCAATTTTATCTGTTTTATTTTTCTGGCGGAGTTTACAGTAAAAAAAGGTACTTGTGATGGAGTTTACATGCGCCCAACAAATAAATTCCATAGATAGTTTGTAGACTATAAATATAGTAAACATAAATCTACGAATGCGTTAATTATTAATGTCTAATAGGTATTTCCTGTCATAGAATTGACTGTTTTATAATTATATTTATACTAAAAACGCTATGCATTCAATATAAAAAGTAAATAAAATGGAATATCTAGTATTTAGATTGACATACTAAATTTATAATTTCTCATTTGATTTTACTATGTATTAATATGTTGGATCTTTACACAAAAATAATAGTAACTATCGATTGATATCGATCAATTAATAAACCACTGTTCTTTTAGTTTAATTATTTTATTTTTTAATAGTATTATATTCTTTTAATATAGGAAGGTAGATAAAACATAATACCTATTGATATTTGTTTACAAAAAATGTAGAAAAATTGGTATTCTTATACGAGTACGCTAGATTTATCCTTACGATGAAATTGTTACTAATAAGAAACGGGTTCGGTTGATAAATATTAGTGATAAACGTACTAACGTCCGTTTTTAAACGTAAAATGTAAAAATATCTATGAAATACGCTAAATATATTTAAACTTTATACTAAAAATGAACCGCACGTAAATATGTCTTACATGACGATTAAAACGTATTATTAATTTTTTTTTTTTTTTTACGAAAAATATTGTTTACGAAACACGCTAATAAGTCTAACTTTTAACACAGTCCCATTTTATAACGAAAAGAAACTGGACTTGTATTGTACTTGACGGCTAAACGTATTAATACCCTTTTTTTTTTAACGAAAAATATCTCTGAAGTACGCTAACAATAATAGGTGTGTTTCAACTTTCTAACGACAGAAGGAACTGGATGTGCGTACGTATTGCACTCGACCGTCGAACAACGTATCGGCGTTTTAAAGTGGCCAACGCTCGTGTAGTGGCCGCTCAGAGCAGCGTGTCTTCTTGCTCGAATGTGACGATCGTCTGCTGGCTGCCGATGTCGTAGCCATTGTAGCCCATCATGTCGTCGCCGGCCATCGCCAGCGACTCCGGGCTCTCGATGGGCATTATCGTCGAGCTGCTGTTGGTCAGGCACCGGTGCACCGGCGATGAGGACGAGTTCTCGTCCGAGCTACCCATCGGCATCATCAGCAGGCTGCAATTCTCCCTGTAGCCCGACGTGCTCGATGTCCTGGACGGAGCGCTGTGGCTATCCTCCTCCCATATCATCTCGGGCTTGGGCAGCATAACCGTCACCGTCCTGCCGTCGTCCTGTGGCCTCGCGCTCGAGCAATCGTAAGCGGCTTCGTCGTCTTGCTGGTGCTGCTGCAGTTTCCCTCCTTGCGGTATTACCTGCGGTAGTGGTATAGCGCACGTAAAAACGCTTATTTGAAATGTGCATTCGAATGTAATTTTTCCAGTGCACTGGCAACGGTGTTCGTAGAACAAACTTACGAAAAGTGTTTAATTAGTTTTAAAAAAATTTAAAAAAAAAAAAAACTTATCAAAATTTCTTCTTATTATGAATTATGAGTATTCATTTTTATCAATCAGATAATCAACAAAAGCATTACGTTACCCGATTTCATGAGGCACGAGTATAATGTATATACACTACAACTTAAAACCTAATATTCATACATTGTTATTAGTAATTTTTTTTTAAATTTTTTTAATTTTTGGAAGAATAAAATAATTACAACTAATAGGAATATACACTGTAAAGTAAACAATGGCAGATATTGGTTTGGCGAATTATATAAAATTAATACTAAGGTTTTCAGAAATATTAAAAAAGTAACATATAAAAAATACGTGTTTACTTTACCTCCATACGACGACTTTGACGAAATCTGAAAATTTTTCGACTTTGTGCTCTGGAACGTTGTAAGCGTGGTTCATTGTGTTTGTTAGAAAAATCAGTTTGTTCTCCATCAGCATTTTTTTGTTCTAAATTATAATTCGTAAAATAAATTTACACCAAATGTTGAACCAGATTTTGTTAATATTACTAAAACTATAAAATTTATCATGCATAATTTTTCCCTACATAGACGAATAAAAATTTGATATTACTATTTTTTAAATACTAAATGTTGAAATTAAATGGAAAGTTTAAATAAAAACTAACTTAAATAACTATTAAAAAGAATCGTTGATATTTATATGACTAATTTCAAAGTTAATCATTTTTTGTTTGAATAAAAATTTTCAAGTTTTGTTTAATATTTTATTACATGGTAACACGTTTTAAAAAGTGGTACATATATTTAAAGAAATACACAAGATAAGTAGATACTTTTTAATATTAAATAAAACTACTTAATCAAAATATTCGATTTTCAATATTATTTTATAATTATTCAAGATAGTTTACAAATTATAAATGTACAAGGATTATATAACATGTTTACATGAATGTTTATTTAAAAATAACCGAAAAATATTCGTCCATATGAACTATATAGTACTGTATATATAGTCTATAATTTTGGCTTATTTTAAAACAATTAAAGGATACTAAAGATACTGAAATATTTTCTGATTATAAATAAATTATAATACTGGTTAATGATCGTCAATAACATAAAATATAGTATGAACACAAAACTCAATAAATGGTAATTTTTACTGCCATATCTTAACCTCTCTTTAAAATCAATTGGATAAAAAATGATAAAAGAGAAATAGCTATTAATCTATTTATATATTTTTCAAGTTTTCTGTAAATGTGACTGTATACCAGAAGTGAATTTTAATAAAAATCAATCTAATGATGTATTAAATAATTTTAAAAAAAGTTGTAATGATTTAATGTAACTAAATGTAAAAGTTTTTCATGAATAAAGTAAATACTTATGACTTTATAATGTAATAATGATTTTATTAAAAAAATTGTATTTAAAAAAAAAAAACAGTGATGTCAAAGTATTCGAATAATTTTTATAGTATTTCAAAATGTATTCTAAATATGTTTTTTGAAAATTATTCCAATACGTATTCCTACTACAAATAAAAGTGTTCTTTACTGGTGAGGGCATATTAAATTTAAATAGATATATTCAATTTTACGTTCTACTATGTATCACATTACATTAAAATGAACAATTATTTACAGTTTGTTTATGAATGACTATTAGTAGTAATTCTGATATTAAATAAATTAACATAATTTAAGATACTTACCTCTTGGAATATTTCCTAACGTTTTTATTGAACTTTCTTGGCTACTCAAATTACTTCGTACACTGGATATTGATTCTCTATGTGTGTTAATAGTACATACACTATATGAAGGATTTGAGTTTCCTGGTAGTAAATTAATAATAGATGGTCTGTGTTGAGTTTCACACGAATTCCGTACTCCATTACTTGATCTGATTCGTTGTTCATCTAATTATTTTAATTAATTAAATTTTTTGATTATAAAGTGACATTGATTTAAAAAAAAAAAATTACACTTTTAAAGCTTATGCTTTAAATACAAATATCAATACTATGGTTTATATTGCATGTAGGGTGAATTAAGGTATTTCAGTGGCATAGGCATTTTTGTAATATTATTTGTTGAGCATATAATGTAATAACATATTACACGATTGATTTGAGAAATAGAGTCATTTTTAAGATCAATGTAATTTTTAAGAGTAGATTTAGGAGGAATAATAAACTATCAAAAATCTAGAAAAATGTACCTTATATTTTACGTTCTATGTGTTAAGAAATTATATAAATTATTGCATATGTACCAAGATCGAGGGATAATCTTTAACTACACGTAAATAAACTATGATTTTAATGAAGTAAAACATGCTCGTATCACGTTATGTTGTCATGTTTAATATTGAATTTCGATCTTTTATTGTTTTATAGATTTTTTTCTTATATTATACTTCTTTAGTATTAGTTTCATTATTTGGATTAAATTGAAAAATTTAATAAATAAATCAACCAAAATAATATAAATAAATATTAAAATTATTGTTTGTTTATTTTAAAATTCTGCACGAAAATTTGCTTCGGATATTTTTTACTATTATCAAATTATAAACGTAAAATATTAACCAATTTAAGATGTTTAACGAATTTAAAATTAAAAAAGTTTTATATTTTATTAAGTTTTGTTATTTGGGATTGAATATTACTTCTAAGTTACGTTAAAATATTGATAAAAAAAAAAAAAACAAATAGTTATACCCAAACGATCGTCTAATTCTTGTTTGAGTTCAGTCATCTCATTCATTAATTCAACGAGAAGAGAACTTCTGCACAATGGAGTAATGGCTGTATAGTTCATATGTTTTTCTTTAATTGAATTCTGTGCAGCTAATTCTTGTTCTGTTACGTTTGTCAATGTCAACTGAAAAATAAATTAGTTAGCCGTGACCACAATAGTATTGTCATGACTATTGTATACTCTTTGTAGAATAAAAGGCTGAAGAAGTATAAATAATGGCGATCGGTTGGTGATCACAAACTCTATAAAAGACCAAATAGAAGCTCTGGCATCTGGTACATTCATAAGTTCTTTCACGGTATGTGCAATCCGCTGAAATTGCAAAGCTAACTCACTTTCGAAACATACAAGCATTATTTTCAAAGCTGAAAACACGAATAAAAAATTAATCGTTGCAGTAATAATATTTACATTGGTTTTATTAAATAGCAACCTAAAAATAGAACTTTAAAAAATGATTTAGAAACTGTGGGTGTGGGCTTTGAGTCCCTATTGAATGTATATGAGTTAGTTCGCAGATCCGAAGTTTGTTTTACATTTGTAAGCTGCACAAAAGTCAGACACGTTGTTTTTACAGGCGGGCTCATTGAATTTAAGACGACCAACAGCATAAATTTTATATCACAAGGTCTCATACAATGCATATCTGAAAAAGTTTGGTTATTAGAAAAAGTTTGGTTATTGCTCATTAGAAGTTTTATAGTTATAACAAATAATTGCCATTAAAATTTAGTAGTGTACATAAATTAAATTAGTTACATTTACAAATTACAATAATTGTGATAGTAATTATTATTATTGAATCAGGGCCAACATATTTAAATATGTAGTTTATATTTGAAATATAATATGTCAATCGATTAATAACTTTATTAATACAATACATACCTTTTTTTCCAATGCCAACTCTAAAACAAAGTGGTAAAAACAAATTCATGAGAAAGCCCTCCGTTTTAACTTGAGATGACATTATATTAGCCATTCCTCCGACTGACTGTTCAAGAGTATAATTATCCTGTTAATAGAATATGAAATATTATAATTTAATAATCAGTTAATTAATTATATTTTGATAATTCATTTATGTAGAAAATATTGCAAAGTAGTTGTGTTATCATTAAAGAGTAATTTGGATATTTTTTCGTCCACTTTTATTTATGTCTACTTCAGAAATCTATCTCATCATTATTCAATTTGCTGCGTTTAATACAATTTGTTGCAGTTTATTCTAAAACAATTTTTTTTTACACTAAAAAATGAAAATAATTATTTCTGTTTTAAAGTTAATATTCAAGAAAATATTTAAAATTCATAATGATGATTACATGAGTAATATTTCTTATTTTGACTCTATAATATGCTTTATGTTCCACAACTATATTTGATTTAAAAATCAATAATAATATTAATAATATAATATAAATTACCCACGAATATTAAATAATAAATAATTCTGATCAATATAAAAATCTTAATGAAGGTCGTTTAACTACTTTAATTGAAAACTTTTGCAATGTATTATATCACCAATATTTAACAATAAAATCCTATAGATATAAAAATAAAAATAATAATAAAACCTTAATAAATGTGCACTATTTTCTGATGATAACATTAACAATAATTTTAAACTTACTCCTATCGCTAAAATGTGTAATGCCAATAAGCGTATGACAATTGCACAAAAATGAGGCGGAGGCATTTCTATTGGTATATTAGATTGTTGAAAATTATCTACTACAGCAGTAATTGTACTTCCGGAATCACCGACAATGATACCCTATACATAGTACATAATATAATAAATATATTAAAATAAGTATAAAACTTTCATCAAAATATACGCTAAATATTTACTTGACACGTAGATATTAGAGCTTTGAAGTGTGGAATGTGTACAATAAATGGATGTTCTGATAATATTTCATAGACACCTTTTATCAATTCTCCTGCAGCATACCAATCAGTGTACCTCTAAAAAAAAATATTTATACATTTAATAACAAATTAATAACACTAATTATAATATATTAATTGCAATAACATAATTTTATGAATTTTAAACTAACATTTTTTTTACAAAATATTAATTTACTTGACAGTTTTTAATTATATATATAAAAAATATTTTTTAACCTTGTTGTTAAGGAATTATTTCTACTTACTCTAATAGATGGTTTTTTGTATATTTTATTAAATGTTTTATCAAGTCTTCTGAGAATCCCCAAGAGAGTCGGACGTAAGGCCTCTGCTGCCCAATCAACAACCGGTAAAATATTTGTCATATACTTCAGTAAACCTTTACACGACATTGTCTCTGGATCGTAAGGAGAAACTTTCAAGAGACTATGAGCAACTTCGCCTAATCTCTGTAATTATTTTTATTATAAAGTTCATAAATAAAATAAAAAATAAAATAAAAATAAATGAAAAATGAAAACCTACAATTTGCATTCGAGTATCAAGAATTTCGAATGGCTTTCCTTCCTGAGGATACTTACGGCTTAATTCAGTAAGCCTAGCATGACATATAACAAAAAAATCTGTCACAACAGATAACAAAACATCTCTAGTTCGACGAAATTCATTACGAAGAGCCTAAAAATAAATTTTTTTATAATTTCAATAAAATACAAGTAATTTAGTATATTTTACAGCATATTTTTCTTCAACTTGTAATTCAAAATCCATAAATTCTTTATCGAACGGAGATTTATGAACTTTACGCTCACTAAACATTTTAGAATTTGATTCTAATTCCCTTGTTTCACCTCCAGTTGGCGAGCATAATCCTTTACTACAGTTTCTTCCACTAGAATCTTTTGGTTCTTGACTAGTCTTTTGTGGCCCATTATAGTGCCTAAAGAAAAATATTAAAATTTAAAAATTTTAAAAAAAATTATTGTTTTTATATAATAGAATTCACATACTTCGATAGTGCTTCACTGTTGTTAATTAATGTCTTTATAGATATTATTAACTGGCTAATTACATCTCTTTCTATGTCTCGATAATTTGGTTGTTGAATGTGTTTCAAATAACAAGGTAAAATGGCTTCCAAAATAAGCTAAACATAAAAATAAAATAAGCGAAAATGTAAATAATAGTTTAAAAGTGTATTTAATTATCAAAACTCTATGGTAATCCAGAATACTGTAATAAAATTAAATAATTTAAATTTAATATATGATTGTTCAATGTTAACAATATTTTATGAAACTTTTTTTATACTGATCTATAGTTTTAATGGAAATCTAAACAATATTTTAGGTTTATATTTTTTTTATTTGATTACTTAGTTTAAAAAACTCACCAGCATCTGGTATGAGCGTAATGTTTCGGGTGAAAACGATATAACCATCACACATAGAGATATACAGTCTTGTATTGTAATTGTGTCATCTTCATCCTGATAACAAAAGTCAACCGCTTGCAGAGGTTTTTCTTCTTTGATCAACTCACTTATATGTATTGGATCAGGAGATGCAGTTTCCAAGCTCAATATCAGTTTGAAAAAATAATTAGCTTCAACCTAAAAACCACAAAAGGATAAATCAATAAAAAAAATTAATACCATCTAATTTAATATTTAAATATAATTAAAGTATAATGTGATTTTTTCGGAAGTACTCTGAGTAAACACTGTTATAATATATAGATCCTAAAAATCTAGTTGATACTCATAATCAAAATAATTGCAATGTACAATTAGAGTGTATTTAATTTTATGAAAAGTAAATGATCTACGATTATCTACATTTATAAATATTTATATTTGGAAAAACTTCTCTCCACGTTCACTAAAGTGATTGAGAGGCACAGACGAGCACTATTGACGTTTTAGTTTTTGTCATTTCGAAAATAGTACGAAAAAAATAATAAAATTTAGATAGGTATAATAGATATTATTCACAATAACATAACAACGACGAAAGGACTTTAATCGACGAGATAAAATCGGATACTCATTGAATATTAGAAAAATATAATAAAATGTGGGTAAAATAATATTCACTACAACACAACAACTACGAATGTAATCGGCAAGATAAAATCGGACAAATCTTAAGTTATCGGTATAATGGTCAACTAGAAACGATAAGAAGTGAACTAGTGTGAAATCAGTAAAAATTACTAAAAATATTAAAAAATAAAAAAGAATACAAATTAAAATTATTTATTCAGAATCACAAGTTAATGAAACACATTTGTGGCCAGAAGAGCAGTGTCTAAAAAGTTCAAAAAAAAAAAAAAAAAAAAATGCAAAATACATCAACTTCCGAGCCCTACTTATTACATATGAATATATTCAATAATCAATTGAGTATTCTATTTCACTGTTATATATATATAAGAGAAATAAATAAAATAATTGAAATGTTACATAAAAACGTAATTTTAAAACAACGTGAAACAATACGAAGTACTAATATCAACTATAGTAAAATATAAACTATTTACTCGACTTGAATCCTCGAAATTAGTCACATCGTCTAAGTCTAATATGCTGGATGCACTTCCAAACATTTGTAGTATAAATGGTTTACGATTCATTAGGTAAAATTGTTTTATAGTGTACTCAATAGATCGAGTAACAATTTTATTTGTGTGGTGACTTGCATATAGTTGGAGTAATGTTGGAATAATTAAAAGATACCTGCAAGTTCAAGTATGATCAAAACATAAACATTTTATTACGTAAATATTTATGTTACGTACCCATTGCTAGAAAATATGTTTTTGAAATTACGAGCAGCATTTATGTACGTAGCCATGACATAACGCAATACACAAGAATCTTCACTGTGTAATGTTACTGCGCCATTTAATACATTCAGAAACAAATGAATATCACCTGAATAAGCAAAGTTTCCAGCCATCGCCTCAAACATTCGAGCAAGTAATCGAACCCAGGTAAATTTATGTAACAAATCAAGCCCTAATAATTCCTGAAAATAATATATTTTAGTATTTAATCACAATATGCGAAAACTAATTTAATTATAAATAAAGTGAATGATCGTATAATTTATATTAGTTACTTTTCCCATATTTCCACCTTGGTATAAATCAAGGTCTGCGTCTAATGCTTTTCTTGGAAACGAAGGAAGTTTAATTAATTCTTCGTGTAAGAAGACCACTCTTTGTACGACCTATATGGACAAGAACACAGAATAAATAGTTATTTTATAGTTCTTTTTGCTTATAAATATCTATAGTTAAACAATACTTAATACTAATCTAATACCATTAACAATAGTAATACTCAGGGTTAAAAAGTAAAATACGGTATAGTATAAAACACGTATTATACTGTATGAAAATAAAATTCCTTATAAACAAAAATGCATTTATAATTTAAACATTTTAAATCTAAATACAATAAAACAAGGAAATATAAATTATAAGTAAGCAATTGTGGTGCTATTAATCTATTATTTATAATTATCATTATTTTATCGCGGACGTATTTATAGTAAATTCATTGTACTTGTGATATTTGTAACACTTTAAATATAAGAACTTTAAGATTATAAACGAAAAATTAAAGTAGATATATAATATAAAATAGTAGTAAAATATATTTTTACTATGTATAAAAATTAAAAACCTTACTTAATATCTAAAATAAGAATTATTTTTAATTTTTAAGAGTGAATTTCGAAAACAAACCATATATATTTTAGTCATTTTATATGTTTTATGCGTTTTATACGTGGGATATTATACGCAGGGCTGACGAAAGGATGGGGCAGGGAGGGCTAGAGCCCCGGGGTCCGTACGTCCGAGAGGGCCCGTTGTTTCGGCTACGTATACAATGTTTTTGTTGTACCAAAGCATATACCTACAAGCATAGGTGTGTCGGGTGAGTCCGTTTTCGACCAAAACCATACCCTTCCCTTTTCGGTCGATTCACTTTTCGATCAAAATCGTACCCTTCCCTTTTTGACCAAAACAAAAATTTATATAATAAATTTAAAATAATAAAATAATGATATACAATGTTTGATTATGATGGAAACTACTATAATATATTAATAACGATTCAGGGTTTTCGGAGCAAAAGTCTTCGAGTTGGTGAATGGATCCGGTAGGCATAACGAGCGAAGTCCTAAAATTTTTAAAATTAAAATTCCGATTTTTCGAAAAAAAAATGTAAACAATTTTCATTATAATAAAAGATCAAAACTAGACACAAAATATCATTTTCTTTTATATTAATATTATAATAATTATTGAGGAAAGTTGTACATAATTATATTATTATTTTAAATTTTTTACATAAATTTTTGTTTTGGTCGAAAAATGAATCGGCCGAAAAGGGAATGGTACGATTTTGGTCAAAAAGTGAATCGGCCGAAAAGTGAAGGGTATGTTTTTGGTCGAAAACGGCCATACCCAGCGTGTCCACGGGAATAGCAGGGTACCTATGCACTTGCGATAAAGCGGCCACTGCCGCAAACCCATACTAACTTTTTGCAAAACCAACGTGAATCCGCATAATTATTTATTATAATGTATATGAATGTAATAACACGGATATCCTGTAATCATTTACCTATATCACTATCACGATTAAAGATATAATGGTCAACCAGATGAAATACTCGTCGGATACGTTAAGATAGCGTAATGGATGTGTTTAAAAGGTCTCTTAGAAAAAGTCCTGGAATTGTTTTATTTTTTTGTTTACGATTCCTGAGTTCACTCATTTAATAAAAGACCGGTTAAACCATACTCGGACAACCTTATTGAGTTCGTAAGAATTATTATGGTTTGGATTGCACTCTCTGCGAAAAAAGTCTTGATACGCGTATGCCTACAAATGGTCTTGGAGCATCTTGGTCAAATAATTGCAAAGGGAAGGGGGCCTGAAACTCCCGCAGCCCTGAGGCCCTCAGAAGTTTTCACCGGTCCTGATTATATGTGTAACGAATAAAAAGTTTTATACACATATATTACTAACCTTGGTAATAATACCTAATTATAATAATATAATATTAAAATGTAATATTACATCAATTATATGACCGTTATAAATAGTTAGAATTCTTGTAAAGGGCTTGAATTGCTTCTTTGAACTACAAAATAGTACAATTTAAAATCACAACTTACATATATGTATACCTACATTATTTTCAAATTTAAAAACGATTAAGTTATAAATTTATATATACTAACAATGATTTTCCTTGTATTGTGGTATGGCTTAGATTTACTAAAATTTCTTACCATATCAACATTTTTTAAAATTGCCCATGTTAGAAGAACTTTTCCAATTTCAATGAATTTATGAATGAGTTCTTGACTTTGTAATTGATTAAAAGCTTCAATAAGATCCATTTGAATTAATTCTAATTGAGGATATTGTGATCTTTTGAAGAAATAATAATCTCTTACATATGAAGTTGGATTATGAATTTGACCTGAAAGTCATAATATTTTTGTGTATCTTCATTTGTTTTTATTTACTCTTACGTATTAAATTATTAAGGTTTGTATTATACTTACGAGTTTTAATATTAACGAGGAAAAATTCTTTGTGACGTTCTTCAGGTATACCAAAAAAGTCTAAAGATTCTTTCAATATTTGGAAAAACTGAGTGTCTTCTTGAACAGGAAATTGAGATGGAATACCTCCAGACATTTGTTCTGTTAAATTTTTACATGTATATTTATTATCAAAATAATACAAAATAAAATAAAAATGAATACATTTTTAATACTTGTAAATTAATATATAAATAAATAGTTTATATATAAAAATAAATATAAATGCTTAGTCTGGAGTATTATTATATTTATAAAGTATGACTCTTTCAAATTAAGATTTTAATAGGTATATAGTGTATACTATATAGTATATAATGTCATGACTATATATATATAGTTAATAAAATCGCAACTAAATTGCATTCTTAATTAAAAGCCAGTCGTTCAATATTAATATGATAAAACTTCAGTTTAAGCTTTTTTTTTTCTTCTTGAAACACTGCTTAATGGCATTTTAAGATGACGATTTTACTGCCGATTTTTCAAAGGAAAAAAGAGGTTAAGCATTTATTTATATAACTTACATATTTATTTTAATTTTATAGTTTTTACGTATTGAGACTATATTCTAACACTTAAACACTAAAAGCTTAATTCTATTATATGATAAGCCTAATTTTTATTAAAATAAATATAATTACAATAGTTTAATAGTACTACAACGTATTACTGCAACTATTGCATACTCGATTTATAATTATTTTTTCTTACCTTGAGGACCATGCACTACAACTTTTTTTGTCGAAGGAACATTAGCAGTAAGTAAAATAGATCCGTCACATTGCTCTTTTCGTAGTATTTGTTTTAAATCTTTAAACATTATACCGTGTACACTATGAACAACCTATACAGCAAATTGATCATGTCTCGAAGTATGAACTTTAAGATTACAATAATAACATCATCATACCATCCACAAAATTGATAAAGCAGAACCAATCATTATTTGACCCTCTTCATGTGGAGATCTTACATAAAACATAACGTATCCAATAATATAGTTATACAAAATAAACGCAGCTTGATGAGGTAACTTGGGCACAAAGCGTATTAAGTGACGTAATAATTTGAACATCTTTTCTTGGTTGTCTCTAGTTAGTCTCTCCAATACAAAACGTAAAAATAAATTACAGTCTTCAACCAAACAGTCCCATATGACCTGAATAGTTTATACAGTTCTTAAAATAAGTATTAAAATTAGGTATGTCTATGAAGATATCTATACCTGGTAAGCTGTTTCACATACTGAACTTCCATCAGCTGTAACTGCCGGATCATTTAATAGTGATATAATTTCTATGACTGCAGAACAAAGAGCAGACGGAAATAACGCAGTTACAGACTGAACCGAATGGTGAGCGACACGTAATGGATTTTCATGTTCGTCGATTTCAACACCTATATAAAATATGATAAGAATGAAGTATAATTAATGAAATTTAGATAAATGCCTGTTGATTGACCTTCTTCATATTCTGGATCAGATGAACCATGATGCATGCTTGATTCATGTGCTGCTTGACTGTTAATAGGAATGGCCGTGATGAGAAAACTTTCTCGTTCATTTCTTCTTTGGTCTTCTTTAGCTTCCAACGCCATTTTAATGAGTTCTGTTTGTTGTTTTTTGCGAGTTTTTGTAGCTGTCACTAATGATCTCTGTAATAAAATTATTAATGAAAATTTTTTTATTAATTATCTAAATTTTCATACTTTCTCATAAATTTGAGAAATATTATTGTAAAAGCTTACATGAGTATCCTGGCCAATTGTCACTTCTTCCACTTTAGTTTCTACTTGTGGCATCCAAGGTGGGTCGACAATCGGTAAACATTCAATCCCAATTTTTGGCGAAGTTAAAGTAAATTCTATACTAGGTGGAGGAATTCTAAATGAACTGTGAGCGCCTTCTTCCATTCGAGGCCATGGTTGAAATCGATTTTTCCATAAAACATGATATCTAGATACGTTTATGAAATATTATACAAAAATGAATATTATTATTTCATCCAGTATTTACTTAAGTATTGCATTTGCTCTAATTGTTGAGTCTTTATTAGTTAAGCTACTGCTGATTAACTCAATACATTTTTGTGGAGCTTTAAATGCTGCTATTATGAACAAAGTCGAAGATGATGCAACTAGTTCTTGGTTAGAGTCCAATAAAAATTCCCATGCAATTGGTAAGATATCCAATACCTGTTCTTCTGTTAATACCACTGCTGCTTTTATCAGTAGAGCCATTGAACAATGAAATATGTCATGTACCTATTTGATCAAAAATATCATTTATAATTTTTTACATTCAAATTCATTGAAATAATTGTTGGATTACTTGATTTTTTATATATTTTAAAATTACGGGTGGGTCATCCTTTTCTTTATTTTTATTTTTATTTTCTTTTTTTTCGTGAATTTTTGATTTAGATCCGAACAGCCTTTTTTTAGTAGCTAATAAACTTTCTCCAAGGTTATATAGTAAATTAGAACTGTCAAATATAAAAATTAAATCTAAATTCATTAAGTTTAAGATAAAATAATGTATACGTTTCTATTCTTCCGAGACTATCTTTTCGCTTGTTTGGAGAGGATTGGCAGCTCGGTATTTGCAAGTATTTTTTTATATCGACCTTTGTTACTGTATTAATATCATCTGGATCTCCATTTTTTTCGATTGATGCCATTAAACCAAATTCTTCACCGTATAACTAAATATTAAAATAATAAAAGTAGCATTGTACTAATAAATCAAATAATAATATTTATTACTCATTATAATACAGTAATAATTTATTAAAATACATTTATACTGTTAAATTATTACCTTTATAATAAATAATAATTAATAATTAATGGTAATAATATATATTACTCACTAAAATACAATAATAATTCATTAAAATGTGTTTATACTGTTAAAATATTACCTTTCTAATAGCTTTTATAAGTCTTGAACAAGACCTCATTTGTCTTTTGTAACATAATGGATGACAAAATGACTGATGAGTACAGCTGTGATCAAACGATTTATTTATTTCAATAACAGTCTGAAATTATAAACGAAACGAATTGTATACTGCACTGTTTATTAGATATTTAAAAATTTATTATAGGCAATATTATTACTTTTAACCATGGCATAAAATATGTCGTATCATCAGTCTCATTACTTTCACACGGACTGATTGGTGCATGATCATCACTCATCATTGCTGCTGATTCATCTTCACCACTGGCTTCTCCAGGTACTGTTGGAGCGCAACCGTCTGAGGTATCGCTTCGATCTTGAAAAAAAGCATTTATTATATTTTGATTAATTATTAATTTATAAATTTTAAAATAATAAGTACAATCTCCATCAGAAGACATCATTTCTTTAATTCCTTCCTTAGTATTTCTTCGTAATTTCAAGCTATATCGCTTAATTGATCCTGCCATACTTTTTCTTTGTGCCAAAGGATGAGCAGATGATTGGTTTGAACCTTTATTTTTCTTATCATCAATATTTACTGATGATCCAGTTTCATCACACTAAAATAAAAAAAGGTTAATTATACATTCATAGCACATTTATTTTCACAATAATTATTTACCTGATTAAAATGAACATTAGGATTAGAATTTTCATTTGATTGTCCAGATTCACCATCATTACGTTTCATACATGTTTTTCCTTTGTCAGCTGGAGCTAATCAGATGAAAATAAAATTAATAAATCTTATAATTTGTGGAAATAACTGTATACAAAAAAAAAAATTATTACAAAAATTATGTATGTAGTGTAATCTTGGTAATCTGATACTTATGAGAACAAGACATTATCGGATAATTGAATTAATATGTAAATTGGTTGATATTGTATAAAAAAAAAAGGAAATTAAATAAAAAAATTAATTTTATTTATAAAAAATACAATTTGTAATAAACTGTTATAAATTTTTATTTTTTAAATTTTTTTTTTTTTAATAAATTAATAAGTTATCAATAAATAAACTTTGGTTTTGTTAAATTAGGTTCAATTTGACGTTGTTATAAACATATAAAATATGATTTTAAATAATTGAAAAATCTGACTTATAAAAATAATGCGTAAACTATACTTCGACATTTACATGACATAATCGGGTTCTCAAATATAATAATTCTTATATACGAATAAAAAATTATCTTTTCTTGAACAATATAAAACAGATATTGAAATTAACACCATCGGACTATGGAGATTACACTATACATATAATTTAAATATTCTACCAATGCTAATATTTACGGTTATTTAATAATTGGGATAGATACTTTGTACATTGTGTGCATTTCTATTTCTATTATAAATTATTTTTGATTTTGATTTTTTGAATGGTAAAGGATCGCAATACAGATCAAGGAGGAAAATAATATATAATATAAACATTATACTGTATCAATAAATCTTACAAAATATAAATATTTATGCAAATAAGTGATTCAGATAATAAGAAATAAATCGTGCATTACTGAGATTATTTTTCTCGGTATTAATAAGATATATCTAAAAGATAAATTAATAAGATCATAATACATTAATGTATATACAAATAAATGATACTGTTAATATCATTAGACATTTCTATTGTGAAAACTATGGGTCATAATATAGACACATAGCAGCAATTGTATTTAAGAATCAAATATGAATATAATTTATCATATTAATAATAATAATAGAACAATTTATAAATGTCAAGTAGGTAGTGTAATTTTTTTGGAGAGTAATATTATAGAGAAATAGTTTCCAAAAATATATTTCTCATATCATATAGACCTAGTATACTTAAATTGAGTAGAAGAAATATTTTATGTAGTTTTTTCAGATCAAAACAATCTAAAATGTTAACCGATTTCAATCTATAAGACAATTCACATGTTGATAATAAGGTGCAAAACTATGATTCTAATCATTAATACATACAGGCTAGAAGGTGACTCGTAGAGTATAATATTTACAAATGCAACAGTTTCGTAAATGATACATTTCAATATAATTATATATCTATAATAATATTATAATAAAACAATATTTCATTTTCACATTCGTAAGTGTGTAATAGATTTACGAATTAAAAAATTATATGAATTCCAAACAATGATAAGTATACAGATATTTAGATTTAAATAGGGTACAAAAGTTTAGTTATAACATTTCTAGGTATTTTTTTTTTCTTTGCACAATGTCCTATCAACCATTCGATTTCAACTTATTAAAATTATTAATCAAGATGATAACAATATAATTTATTTATATATTTATATCTAGATAAAATAATGTAAATAAAGTTAATAATAATACAATATTACGAGTATAATTATTCTTAGATTATTGAAAAAAAGGATCTATACTTTTTTCATTCTATTTTTTTTTTTTATGATTTATAAAACCATTATTAAGGGCAAGTTGAATGATATTGGATGATATGTAATAATTGAAAATAAACATTTCAAACTTTTTTTTTAGTTCAATTTTGTTTCAATGAGTTTATTTATTATTGAAAAGTTTCAATTATCGTATAACTATTAGGTCAATGATGTGCATAAATATAAATGCATACACATATGTACACACCGTTTCATGATTGATCGTATAATTTATAGTAATACAGTCATACATTTTGAACGTGGAAAGCCTGAGGAAATATAATTATTTGTTTATATAATTCTTATGTTTAATGATGCATGAATTTAAATCAGAAGTTCCGTATTTACATATAAGGAAAAGTTACTGTATATACAAAGTAAAAAAAATTTTACTTTGACTTTTATTTTTTTAAATATCAAGTCAGATTGATTCAAATTGATAATAACAACAATAATAACCATTAATAAAAATAAAAACAATATTAAAATATATATTTTTCTGATAGAATAGTTTTATATGTGTATTGAATATTTTAGTAGAATATAATTTAAGTGTTAGTCATTATAAATAAATATTTCATAATAAATATTACACAGTTTTTTTTTTTTTTTTTTGAGACTATACTATTTTTGTAATAAATATATTTTTTTTTTAATAAAATCAATTAAGACACTTTTTATTGTAACAATTTATGATAGTAAATATAATAATTTAGGACATAGTTTAGTCAACCTAATTTTATTTTCATCTTAATTTCAAAAATAACGTGTGAAACGAATTTGTTTGAAAATGATGGAATCATATCAGATAGTATTTAATTTGATTTATATAATTTCTTCACTTGTCAGAATCAGTCTAGTCATTTTTAAGTTTTAGATACCATATTATTTCAATACATTTTAGATTTTATATTAAAATGTAAATTTAAGGTTATTATATATTTGTGTGTGTTAGTTATTTGATCAGCTATTTTAAGTTATATTTGTTATTTTCCATATACTTGTATACTCAGTCAAATGGTGTAATTTATTACAATCAATAAATAAAAGATATCGAATATTTTTAATTATTTTAATTCGAGTCAGATGTAATCATTGTATATAGTATACAACATTAAGCCACGACAGGAAAATATAATAATTACATATTATAAATTAGTTGATACAAAAAGCATAAATATTATTGCTATGGAAAATTTTTTATTGGGAATGCAAAGCAAAATGTTATTCTGTCACAAGGCGCAAGACAAACAAATCAAACAAATTTTAATACAAATTAATTTGGAAAAAAGCATCGGTAAAAATTAGTTCTGGACTATGTTCCATGCAAACTATTTTTTTTTTTAATATAGTGCAATATTATTGGTCAGTAACACTGTTGTGAAGCTCATACCGCGCTTTTCTTTTATTAGTTTAGCGTGTCTGCGAAGTTTGGTCAACACAGTGGTAGCAACAATGACGCTACTTTTTCGACTAACGTCCTCTTCTGGTTTTAAATGACTCTGTAAGAGCTCATTTCCACTTTTCTCCATCTCTGCGATACAACAGTAATGACATCCATTCGTTAAACAAGCATTCAACTTCGCCAAAGATACAATATATTTGCACACTCAAGTTTTATTTGCTTAAAAAATATTATTATAACTACGAAAGCTAATTCAAAAATGTAACGTCGGTAACATAACTCGATGAACTATCTTTGAATATATTGGTATTATTATTACGCCATTCAACAGTAGTTTTCATACTCTATAATGTTTATACTGCAGGAAAAATAATTTTTAATTATGATTTAATTCGTAGCACGTTAACACTGCAATTAGTTATAACTTCTGACGAATCGAAATTGAACATACTTGACCTACCTTGTTCCTTTTCACCAGATATTGATTGCAAACTTTGTGCAGAAGCTTGCGAATGACCCATAGAAGACAAAGCCATCGACCATCGTCTTCCTTCTCGACTATGAGATTGCCGTTCCCTCTCCCAGGCACTCGATGATATAGGTAATGTTGTGTATGGGTTTGAAGGTCGAGTTTTTGGCAAACTTCTATACGTTTCTCGCAAATATGATGTTATTTCCAAAAATAACATGCACGCTATCAACCGTAGAACCATTGGACAACTGAACATTCGAGAAAGTCCAGATGCTAGGGTGCATTAATATAATACATTAAGAATAGGGATATTAGCGATATTATAATTTAGTTTGGTTTTACTTTCATCTAAAAAATCTTCTTCTTCGTCTTCAGTTTGCAATTCACGTTGTAGGGCTTCGTCATTAATACATGCTAATATATGAGGTAATTGTTTTTTATCTTCGGAGATCATTTCATCCAAACGTGCAGCGATTATCTGTAAAACAAAACATTAATTAAATTCACTTGACCAGTTACTGAGGCTGAGTTTTGGTGATTGATCATTGAATTGGAATTCAAATTGGATTATGGTAAATGATAAAGCTCAAAATGTCATTCATTTATTTAATGTAATGTTTTTATGTTTGTGTTTCTTATTAAACTTATTTAATATAATATACATTTAAAGGTTTTTGTTTTAATACATACATACATATATATATATATATATATTGAAGATTACTAAAGAATGTATGAAATATTTCATTCCCCCTTTTCTAACTTGAAAAACTCTTATTTAGATGACCTGATTGCCACTAGGTATCATATATATGTTATGGAATACCGGGCAATGTATACTTTGGCCGAGCAATTTGGTCCTGCTCGGGAAATTTGAACCTCGAATAATAATAAATAACTGTTATACTTATAATAATAACTATATAATATTTTACTAATAATTTATTGTAATTTAACTATGAGTATAATACAGAAAAAAGTATAAAATATCAGTATTTTACGTTTTCTCATATAGCCATATCAAACTGATAAAATTGATGTCTATGTTGATAAAATCAGACAAAAATATGAACAACAATAGATTTTTATAGTTAACCAGTCAAGTTTTCGTGCTTTTTAAGACACTTTGTACCTATATATACGCATCAATTTCCACATACAACTGCGACGCGTGTTATTTTCAAAAATGGAATTTAAATTTTATGAACATTTAAGCGAAATATTTAAAGTGAAAAAAACAAATACTACTACTACTTTTCTTAATAAAATAAAATATTACAAAATATTTAGTAATTTAAAACAATTAAAGCAAGAGAAAAAAACAAAAACAAAATTAATAAAGAAATATGACGTTATGACAGTACAAGGTAACGAAAAATTAATTATGCCAATAACTGAAGAAGGTAATTATGTAAAATATTATGCTTATAATGAACTTTTTTAAAATCTTACATGAAACACATTTATCTATTGGACTAGGTGGTAGAAATCGCATGGAATATGAGATAAATAAAAAGAATAAAAATGTTACTAGAGAGACAATAATGCCATATTTAAATATTTGTGAGCCATATCAAAAAAGTTATCAGTAACCAGTAACCAGTTAGTGAAAAATCGTACTTATCACCATGGTACAAAACATTCACCGTATGAAACGATGTTTGGTAAGTCCCCTAAAATTGGTTTAATATCTACAATACTTCCTGTAAACATAATTAAAAAATTAAGATCCGAAGAAGAACTACAAGCTGTATTAGAGTCAATACAAATTCTTTCTAACTACAATGAAAATAATGCAATATTTCAAGAAATCGAAGAATGCAATGAAATTCAAATAATTGAAAAAACAAAAACAAGACAAATATCGATAAACCAAATTTTACATGAGTTGTTAGATAATCTAAAATTCCAAGCAACAAAATTGACGGAAATGTCAAAAAAACAATTTTGCCAAGGAAATATTGGAGATTCAGTTAAAGTCAAAATTTCAGATGTGCATAGAGCACATAGTGACCTTCGATGTGTTCTAAGCGTAATAATATCAAGTAATAATTTCATAACTTATTAATAATATAATCTGTGAATTATCTTAAAATATTTATTGTACTTGATGTATTGATTGTAATCCTTCATAATAAAGTCAAATATATTAAAAAAAAAAAAAACTTATTAATTAACTTATTTTATAAAAATTATAAACATTATAATATATATTTAAGTAAATTATAACTTCTATAAAATCGGTACAACTGAAGGAAAACTATAACAACTGTATAGCAGAAACCAATTTACAATTTTTTAAGAAAAATGTGTACAGATTGATAATGTAACAACAATTTAATTTCACTAGTAGAAGCCCGTGCCTTTTTTTAATTTAGGAGGACAAAAATAAGATCAGTGCACTTGTACGCAGCTTAGTAAGACCAATAAATGCAAGTGTAAAGAAAGAGGCAGAATTTGTAATTCTAAATGCCATTCCAGCTTATTTTATGAAGATAAATAAAAAATAATTCTAAAATGTAATAATATCAAACATAAAAATGAATTAACACTTAGTTATAATTTAAACTTTGTTTTGAAATATTTACAATATAAAAAAATTAATAAAATTAAATATCATTGTTTTAAAATATTCATGATCTAATAAATATATATGTTATTAATACTAATAATCATAGGCGCGATTTGGGGGGGGGCTTGGGTGTGCTTAGCACCCCCATTTTCAAAATTAGCACCCCCAAATTTGTTAATGTTAATTTACATTTAAATACTCATTAGGTACTCATTATGTATAGAAAAACATAATAGTTTTTGAGTTTTTTTGTATAAATATATGAATTTTTATACAATACGAAAATATTTCACAATACGAAAAAAAAAATATCTTTGCTATAGGGTAAAAATTTCAAGTTTCTAGCCATATTACTTTTGGAATTATGACTAAATAACTAAAATTTGAAATGTGAAAATCTTATTTACTGCGTATTTTTACCATTTCAGGACAGTTTTTTCCTTACGTCTAGAAAAACTATTATGATTTATAAAATGACCTATCTAAAGTACCACCGCATGCCAATTTAAAATCTAAAAAAGTCCTAGAAAAAACTTTTGGGTCAGTATTTCTATCCGAAAAAGTGTTAAACAAATAAAATACAAACATCATTATAAAACCATAATATTCTCGCTTCAGTCAGAATCTAAAAGTGATCATGTGATAAAACATTCGTGTTTACAGACAGGTAATTCGTTAAACGCGCAATAAAAATATAAAATTAAAGTGAACAATTTAAATTTAGAAATATTCATATATTTACCAAATATCTTAGTAACTGTTGAATTGTACGGTTTGCGGTTGTCTATAACCATTAAGGAACATGAAAAAGATAGAAGGGCTTCAGCACCCCCAGTTTTTTCATTGAAATTGCGCCCCTGTTAATAATACAATTATACTAATACTACTAATATTACAATTAGTATAATATTGTACAATTATTTATTCCTATTCCAGATTCAAATTATTCAGGCAGGACAAAATTCCCGTAACATATATATATATAAACATCAAAATATTTGAATAGTTAAAAGAAAACTCTAACTAACGTAATGTATAAGAAAAATAAATAATAATTTTAATGGTAATACTATAATTTTATACTTACTTCTCCCCACTGGCGAAAAAGCTTCCCAGCATTATGTTGTACGACAACGGACTTTTTAGTTCCAGATATTACCGTTGGTTTGAAATTTAGACCAGACGGTCTCGTCATTTTCATCCAAGTAGACCATTGGCCTTTATTACAACAATGAACAAAATGACAACATTCCAAGAGAAAAACTGCTCTAGCCAAAACGGGTGTATTTGGCTAAAAATAACATTATATTATTCTTTTTTATCTTAAACATTAATTTACAATATTATTTTATTATTTTTCCATACTAAATCAAAAGCTGCGGATATCAAATTAGCATCTGGTACAGATCCTGGACCACAAATTTCCATCATGGCTGAAAACCTTTGAATACCTGCTCTAAGATGTTTAATTTCCACTAATTTTCTCTCCTTCAAGACAACAAATTCCGATTGATGAGGATGGTCGCCATCCTCCAATGAATCTCGTCGACTTAAATCTAAAATAATAAATATACATTTGAGTAAATTTACATAATTTAATAAGAACAAATAAAAAACTTACAACTTCCTTGAGAATCTTCAGTATTTTTATCCTTTTTTCTTCCTTTTCGAAAAACGTATTTATTTAAATGATGGCCCATTCGTTTTTTAGTTTTCTTGAATTTTTGAGACATTCTATTTTTTTTTTTTTTTTTAATATTTATTTAATTGTAATATGATAATAATTTTAAAGTAACATACCCACTGTTGGTTTTTTTAGAACCTCTGCAATATGACTGATGTAAATTTGCAGCTTGTCGTACTAGTGATCCTACATCCGAAGATGAGTCGTACGATGAATTCATACCCTGTGATCTCCCACGACATTCGTGCACATTGGATTTTGAACTTATCCAATTAACTAATTATTTCATTTATAAAATAATACAAATCATTTAAAAATAACTTTTATTTATATTAATGTAATTTGCTATAAAATATGTTATAACTATATCGTCTATAGCAGGGATGACCAACATGTCGATCATGACATGATTTTGACACCCTTTCATTTTTTTTTTGAATTTTTTCTAAAAATAATTAAAATATTTATTTTTTGTAAATTTTTATATCTTTGTTCAATATATGTGTATACAAATTTGATTAATTACAATTAATAAAGGTAATATAAAATAATAATATACTATATTATTACTATATAAAGCTTTTATTACTATATTATAGTAATAAATAACTATGAAAAACGAAATTATATACAGAAATCGAGTAGTTATGTAGATATATCGTACGTTATCTAATCGATATTCCGTTTTAAATGACAGTATTTATCGCATTCTCATATATCGGAAAAAAAACATTAAAATACGTGCATTGCCAAATTGTGAAATTAAAGTTATTATTACTTATTAATATTTTAAATAGAAGAAATGAAAGAAGTATACATAAAATGTATTTTTACTCAGTGACAACCTTTTTTTTTTTTTGGTCGATTGTGAAAATTTAGAAACACTAAGAAGTCGATCACAAGTCAGTATTAGTTGGCTACCTCTGGTCTATAGGAATATATCATTTATACAACTTTTATACCTGTATTATTTATATAATATATATTTTAATTTTTAAACCTTAATTTTTTTTAAATTTTGTCTAACAAATGAAGAAAAATAATTCAAATTTTATAATTATTAAATTATTTATTCGATTTATTAAAATATAAGACGGCGAATCATATAGACAATTTAAGAACGTAAGTATTTTTTGCATGATATTGAATAATTTGTGAAAAAATTTTTTTTGTATCAAAGGTCTTTTAACATTTTTTTTTTTTTTTTAATCAATAATATAAATATAATGATACGCAGTTCTAGTTTTTTATCGATTTTTTTTTGACCAGGTAAAATTTAAAATAAACTTGATTAAAAATATTTCTGAATTTAATCTTGTCTATATATTTTTGATAGTAAAAAAATAATTTAAATAAAGTATTCTAATCATTACTTAGAATAATATTTTAAAATTAAAGTGCCTTATTTCAAATGTTACCAATAAATGAGATGAACTCTTTAAAAAATTATCATAATTATTTATTGTTTATTTTTCCAAATTTTAATTTTAATTTAATATTATGGAAGTTAATAAAATTATATTGAAAATGTATTTAAATCTAACCTATTTCTTTGATTTGTAAACGATTCGAATATGATTTTTTAGAACATTGCATACTGCCTTCGCTAGGTTTTGAAACTAACATTGGATTTCTTCTTCTCTTCAAGTTAATTAATGACATTTGATTTCTTATGTCTTCACTAATTTGATTTTCAAAAGCGTTCTAAAAGTAAAAATAAATTTTTTTGATTTTTAATTCATCATTATTATTCAAAAATACTAAAATAAACGAATTCCCACCGAGTAACTAGTGGTAGTACTTCTTTTTTTAAATAATAGTTTTCTGCTTGTTTTGTCAAGCACAAACGGTTCTGTAATAGATTTGGAATGTTCCTCGTGGTCATGTATAGGTATATGCCTTAAAACCATAAATACAATCAATCATTTTAAATTATAGTTTTTTTAAATTATTTACCTGATAACACGTGTAGTTTGAATATTGCAATGTTTTTCATTGTTCCGATTGGCAGTGTCTATTAACCCACTTAACATCACACGTTTAAATACAGATGGGTGAGTGTCTTTGATGTAACCGATTAGAAAGCGCAAAGTATTATAAATATCCTATTACACAATTATTTGATGTTAGTATTAAGTAGTAATATATGTGTTGTTTTATGGTTTTTTATTCATTATATTTTACATAATAATAAAAAGCTCACGGTATTCTCAGGTTGCTTTAATTCTTTATATGAATTAACCACTTTCGACATAAGACTTCTGAATATAACATTTACTACGTGATATTCATTTCCTTTATTACACACCAATGGTCCATATCCTGATGGAGATCCACTCATTTGAGATATTGTGTCAAGGGATTTCCTTTTATTACCTAATATATACATCAAATTACGTCGATCATCGTTAATAATTTTTTAGTTTTAGTTTTATTAATTGAAGTTTATTAGTATTCAGAATTATCGTAGAACTATACACACACACATTTATTATATTATACGTACACATAGGTGAAAAAATAGACATTGGTTCGGTACAAAATCCAATGTATGAATGAATAAAATTTATTATGCAAGGCAGAGAATTGTTTTTGATAAAATGTCTCAAGTAGTTTGAAAATTCTCGTTTATCATATTGCTTTAAGCGATTTAATAAGCATTGACATTGTGTTCGCACGAAATTTGCAGGAGGTCCTCTATGTCCTTCGCCGCAAGTGTGTGGACATCCTAAGTATTGTATTATCCTATAATATACATATATATATATATATATATAGTTTAAAATATTTTTACTACTTATTCAAACATTTTAATTACGCTTTTACAAAATAAGCAACGTGTATTCGTTTAATCAGTAATTTGAAATACTTACTTTATGATAGAGCTCATGGCAAGTGCATGAGGGGACATTGGTTTACTATATGATAAATGTGCTGAGTAATCTGAATTGGTATTTTGTGTATTAGGATTGGGAACTTTGGGAACCTCTCTATGCCACGACTGATGTAATATCCCCAAGTCTAACAGTAACTCTATTAAATTAATAACCATTTCGCATGTTCTAAATGTTTTACAAGTATTTATTTGATATACTGAAAAATGGATGGCCTAAACAAAATACAAATTTTGTAAACATTTAAACACTTTTATGAAGTAGTTTATTAAATACCCTCAACACAACTTCAAAGTTGACATCTCCATCTTTTGTAATGTAATTTGTCGATCCTTGTACTTCAGGAATTTCTTCACTGATATATGTTATATTAGAATCAGTTTGTGATCTTGTTAGATTTGATTGGCGAAAGTCTTTAGAAAGTTTTTGTCCTTGTGGAAATACATTATCAAATTGAAAATCATCAAAAAATTTTGCCTAAAACATTACAATTAGCTTATACTTATGCACTTAAAAAATGTATTATAATATAATAAAAAAATAAAAGTAAACACCTTGTAGAAATTAATATCTGGAGAAGTTACACCAGAATGTTCAGTTATGGTAATAATCGGGTTTAAAAAATGTTTAACATGTTTTATATCATTAACTCTGAAATTTATTGAAAATGAATAAGTATTAATTATTAGTTCAGCTTATGAATATTAAATATAACTTATAAATGAATAGATATTAATTTTAATAATGATAATTATAATAATACCTAAGACTAGGTAGACTCTTTCCTCTGTTGAGAAACCCAGTTTTGTTATTTTGAAATAAAAGTTCTAGTTTTTTTATCAGAGGATTAGGTAGTTCTTCATTTGTAAAACCATTATGACATTGCTGAAAAAAATTGATTTTATAGGACTATATTTTATATAGGTATATACAAAAATGTATTAAATAATTAAATTACTGGTTCAAGCATCATAACATCATTTATATAGTCAAATTTTTGTAAATTTTTTTCAGACTTCGATAAAAGTTTACATTCGACAAATGCTTTTAAATCTACAATCTTTTTCTTTTTCTTTATACGTTCACTAGCTTGCCTTGAATGAACGTTTGTTATATCTCGATCTTCAAAAAATCTTCTCTTACTGTCCTTCATTATTTCTAATCATAAATAACAGTTACGAAATGTGAACATTAATGTTTTCACAATAATTAATTAATCTAGGTAAACAAAAATTATAATAGTATAATTTTAAATCTTTGTACCAGGTGAACTATCGCCCATATCATATGTACTCGAATAATTCGGTTTTACGATTTTGCCACGGAAATCCGGTTCATGATGAAATGAAACCTCGATTTTAGGTATTGGTAAAGAATTACTTCTTCGCCGTGGTTCTTGTTTGATTTTTATATTTTCATTTATACTTTGTAGTCTATAAAAATGAATGTATATTCTTATTTATATAACCTATATATTTATATATTATATTATATTCAGAATATGTAATTAAAAATAATATTCAATTGAGAATAGTTGATTCAGAATTACTATATATAAAAATGATTTTTAGAAAAAACAAAATATTCTTCACTTCGATAAAAATCTTAAGCAACGCTATAAGTTAAGACGTGAAAAATAAACCCACAATTAAATATTTATTCTCGAAAATAAATCTTTTAAATATTATTCTCGATATGTACTTATTTTTATACTGATTTAATTAGTTTAAATACTTTTGTATTTTGTAAGTCATTAAGCACTTTATTAATTAAATCAAAACATGGTTATAAACATGAAACTTTAAATTATTTCATATTTTTATCACTATACATTACAAACCTGTGGTATAAAAATTGAAAAGCCCAATAAACACCTTCTTCACACCATTGTTGTGTAAATAAACATCTTAATACTGCAACATCTAAATAAGTGGCAGCATTCAAGTCGACAGAGACTGATTCTTCTGTTAAAAAACTTGAACTGTTGTAGTTATTTGCTCCTGAGATTTTTTTTTTACTATTTCTATAATACAAAACATAAATCATTAAGATTCTTAACAAATAGGGTAATTTATAAAATATTATTTTTATAAATTTATATATTAGTAGGTGTTTAAATTATAAAGAAAGAGTAAATAATGATTATTTTTAAATCATTATTAGACTACTTTACTAAATATTATTCCATTATAGGAACTGTATTATCAATGTAAAAATTAATTTTCATTATACTATAATATTTTATTAACAACACAAACAACTTTATATGCTTGTTTATTGTTCAATTTTGTAAATTCAAATATTATAACTATTCGGTTATTATTGAATACAATTTATTATTGAAGATTATACATAATGAAATATATATAATGTTTATATTATAATGAAAGTTTATTTAACTTACAGATTATTTTTACAACTATCTATTAATTGTTTGTGTTGTAGTACAGGGGCGCGCTCATAGTGGGATGAAGATGTTATACCCCCCCCCCCCCCCATGAACTTTTATTTATGCCTTTATTTGTAGTTCTTCAGTAGTTTCAGTTCACTCAGAAAAAAAGGTAGTGTGTAGTTAATTTTTAATTTTTTGATCTCGTTAAATATTATCATACATAATATTAAGTATGTATTATTATGTTTACATTATGGTTTGTAAATAGAACCAGTAGAACATGGTCATAGTTCTATCTACAATCATGAATGTAATCAAAAACTATTTTTGAATCATTGATATCTATATGGTAAACACGACCCTCAGCATTCCTTAACATCATACCCGAACAATTTATTGTTTTCAGGCACGTACTGGCCCATTGGGATACCGGGAAAATCCCGGTAGACTCTCTTAAAAATTATAAGACCTGGGCCTCCTACCAAATAGATACCTGTAGTTTCAGTTCAATTCAATAATTTTTTTATTTTTAATAATTCAATAATTAAAATATTGTATATAAATTTAAAAATAGATAGATTTGTAAAAAAGGTTAAAATAATAATTGACGATGATGTTAATGTAAATGACAACAATTTAAATATTGAAATTAATATTAAACAATAAGCTTCAAGAAGTGGTACAAGTTTACATTTAAAAGTTAAACGTAAATATTCTGATGATTATTAGTGTTTTAAAATTACGTAGAATGGTGATATTAACTGTAGTATTGTGTCCTATACTCTATAGTTAGGTTTTAATCAATATCAATATGAACAATATTTACCAACAAGAACATTTTGTAAATTTGTATCTATGACTTATGTCGAAAAAACAAAATACAGTTCATCTCTCCCTTTCCATAGGAAAAAGTTGAGCACACCACTGTTGTAGTATCAAAAGTCATTAAAAAATTATTTTCGACGATGCAAATTGTTAGAATATATCTTTGCTTTCATAATAAGAGAGATAGTATATTATTTTATTAATTTACCCTATTTTTATTTTATTTTGTAACTGTTTCATTTCAGGAGATGTTATTGCTGCCAAATCTTCATAAGTATAAATTGAATCCGATTTTCCAACTGGTAATTGAAATATACTTGGTTTTCCCTAAAAAAGTTTAAGTTATTCTAATGTATTGAATATACAAAATCATATAAATTATTTAATAAACTAAAAATGTACTTGGTAATTATTTTGTAAGTTTTCAGGATTATTTATGTATTCTTCATATGGAGGTATGTGAAAAATAACCTAAAATATATAGATATTTATGAAATCATATTAAAAATATGTTACATAATTGTAGTTTTCTAACTTACAACTTGTTCATCTTCTGTACTAGAACTTTCTTCGGGTATAGTTTCTGGAAAACATTTATCCTTTGGTGACGCTATCCATATCTATATTCAATAAAAATAATATATTTATGAATTATTTAACTTAACTGTATTTGGCCATTAATAAATCATTTATAACTAATAATTAAGACTACGACCAAAATTACAACAAAAATAGTTAACGTTGAATGTGACTGAAAATCGTAATTTAAAATATAAAATCTGAAGAAAAAAAAATTTAGTCATAAAAACCACGGTTAGATTAGATCAATTTTAAATTTAAATTATAAATCATGAAAATTCAACAAAAATAGTGAATACGAACCTATTTAAATATCTAATATAATTTAAATCCAAAAACTTAATATAACGAAGGTAATAATAATAAATATCATGTAGACTTATAACAAATAAAATAGTACACTATACACAAAGGAACAGTCGTATAGTATAATAAAAATATTGTACTTACCTCATCGTCAAACGATTTACTTTGGCTGTACGATTCATTGTGGTTTATACTATGAGGTGAACTAACTGATGCGGATATTGTACGTCCATTATATTCTTGACTTCTTAGTTTTTCTAGAATTAATTGTGATGTACAATATACATTTTACATTTTATACAGTAAATAATTAATGTTTCTTTAAATTCGGAAGATTTTCTAAAATTACCTTGTGAAAGTCGTTTCAGATTATACCATAAGGATTTAGGTTTTGGCTTACAGTGAGCTGAAAAACATGCAATACTAGGTGTACGATTGTCCCAAAATGCTTGCCACATTTTCATTCCGCTTTCTAACCCATTACTTATCAAATCGGATTCCTTGACTTGATTAATTAGAGGGGCAATTAAATAAACGAATAACTAAAACATATATTTATATTTATTAATAATTTATACAAATAATGATCAATTTTATAATGATAAAATGTATAAATAGTACCTATATATAGGTGTATATTTACCGTCATGGTGGGGATATTAAAAAGATAATAATGTGGTAATGTTTGAAACGTTCCTTTTTCATAATCAGAATCCGCACATTCATCAGGTGCATCTTGAATTATCCAATGTAGAATTAGTAATAATTTTGCTTCTATTGGTCCAATATATTGAATATTTGTTCCTTTTCTAAAATGGTAAGTAAATATTTAGAAATTTTGAATACGAAGTTTAACTACAGATGAAAAATATAACAGAATTATATCTAATTCAAATATTATATAATTAGTTTAAAGTACCAAAGTGAGAGCGAAAATATAAACTAAGTACACTAAAAATTGTATACTTGTGTATTTTGACTGAAAAAATATATAAATATGTACATTATTTACAAAAGACAAATAGTAATCCAATATAATTAATTCTATATAAGTTCGTATATTTTCAATTATCATACAATAAATTTAATTAGTAATGGATAGATAATAAACTTTTAAAAACAATTAAATTAAATAATTTCAAATATGAAATAAATATAATCACAGCTAAGAAAAGGAGAAGGCAAGGAAAAACAAGCGGTTTTCTAATACATTAGATTATATTACATATAGATAATATTTTAGTACCTATTAATATTTATAAAATTTACGCAATTCATCATTATACACCAATCATTTTTCTTATAAATTCAAAATATGAGTATATATAACTCAGGTATATGGTAATAATATATATTGTCATCAAACATAAAGTACAGATATGTAACTAAATTTAATTAAAATTTAAAAAAACAAAATTTTAATTGTTTTGTGATTACTACTTTTGATTTTTATAAATGACGATGATTTTATAAATCGAAATGGGATGTACATATTTGCTCAATTAATAATACTCCGGGTGAGAACTTATATTTAAGAAGATTATTTTTGTTGTACTAACGATATATCTACTTTCGACAACGTCGCCTATGGATTAGCATTGAGCGAGATGTCGTCGAAATCCGATTATATAATATAATTCCGTTTTCAGCTGTCATTTGTCTACTTGATGAAAATATACAAAATTTATATATCATCAAACGATAATCTGATGTATTTTTTTTTTCTAAATAACACTACAGTTTTTTCATCAGCCCCTCAATAACAGTGGTGGCTCGTGCTATGGGGCCACGGGCATGTACCCCACTTACAAAATTGATAGAAAGAAGAATTTAAAATTGAATAGCTATTGGTACTTCTTCTAACCATTATAATATAGTTGGTAATTGGTATATTATTTGAAAATATTATTGAAAATATTATCGAAAAAAAAAAAGTTATCCAATATGTACATACTGATACTATATATACGGTCATTAAGCGGCGAGCACAAATTCGTTGTGCCCCGATAGCCCGATAAACAGTGATAGATTTCCCCCACTTTTTTACAAGAATTATCACGGTGTTACCGGGCACAATCGTATTGAGCCCGAATTTTATTTTTATAACGATTTACGAGATTTTGTCAGTTATGTCGTCTTCATATCGTTATCGTCGACCGTTTCCCATGGCACCACGGTTTAAGATATATCTACCTATATATACAGTGGCGTAAATTGGGTCCAATTTCTGGTGATGCAGAGACATATTCTCAACTTATAATTTCCAACATTCCAATTTTCCAACTTCCTAAGTAAAATCCTTCCCATTAAACTGTATATTTTCCCATATATTTCTTTAAATAATAAATACATTTTGAATTATTTTAACGGTAAAACCTTTATTATTATAATATTAATAAAAAAAAAACAAACAGCAAATTTTTTTTTAGTATGCTGGTTTCCTTGGCTCTTAAAAATATTATTATAGGTATAAAAATTTCAATAATATTCTGGTGGTGCAAAAACATACCTTAATTCCACATTTTAAATGTGGTGGTGAAAGTGCCACATTTTCACCACCCAGTTTACGCCACTGTATATATATATATCTTAAATCATGCGTGGCGCAGAACAAACACCAATTATTTTATTATAGATTATAGGAACATGATAATTAATACTGATTAGCAAGGTTAGTAGACAGATGAATAGATTTGAAATTAAAAAATATTACTGATTAACTGTATAATTAAATTTGTTATTTATTTTTAAACCATAATTTTCTTATTTTTAAATTTTTTATTATTTTTTGTTCAACATACACCATAAGCGTATATTAAAAGGTTTTGAAACACAAACAATTTTATTATATTTAAAAAATCAACAGGAATTGTTGGTAAATTCAAAGTACCCTATTTTCAATGAAACCCACAAACCACCATCAGTATAGTTATTTTAAACTATAAATATAATCTTGTTTAAATATTTTAATGTCTTAAATATTTTTATATTTTTATCTTTAAACCAACTTGATAAGTATTTTTTTTAATATCATCGTAGAATAATATTTATGAATTAATTTAAAAATAAAACGAAAATATACCTGTTTTGAAGAATAGCTGCAGTAGAATGGATAATGTGTGGAAGTGAAGCTTGAATAAGATTCCATCTTGGAAATGTTTTGATTTCGTCTTTAACATTTTGGGGTAAGTCGATTTGAGAGTCTAGAACTAATAATCGTTCAAAAGTCTGCGAGTTAAAAAAAAATTATTATTATTAGATAAAATTCAACATTAATTGAAACATTTTGAATTATAAAACAATTGTTAGTAAATAGGTAAAATTAGTTATGTGTTAAAACCATTAAAACCGGGTGGTGTAGAGTATGCACATACTCTATCTGTGGCTTCAAGTTTATTTTAGTGAATAACGCAAAATATCTTCATCCAACTATTGGGGACTTATACACATCACAGCAAAATTAATAGACCTTTAGTAAAAATGCAGATTGATATATATATATAAGTAGAAAACAAATAGATACTATAGATAGGCACTCGGTAGATTTGGAATATATAAGTTATTCCGTGTAACATATCATATAAAAATAGAAGAGCATTCTGGGTATACATTGTAGTTATTGTGGACATAATAATACTTTTATCCACGCTGATATTATTTTCCACAAAAGCAAATATCCAATTATTATTTGTTAGGACACATATAATTAAGACCTTCCAGCTTCCGCAGTCCTCTAAATAAGCGACTTTTTTGAAACAAGAGTCGAGTAACTGAAACTAGTAGTATAAATGACAAGTGTTGAAGTGTGCAGACTGAATATTTCAATAAAATAAGGTCTAATAAAATGAAAATGACCGAATTCTTTTTGAGTGTGTTTTTTTTTTTTTAAGGTAAAAAATGAATGTATAAAATGAGGATACACCACTTGCTAACCATGTATGCGCACGCCTATAGTTAACACTAATTAATTGAATTTATGAATAAATTATTTGTATTTTACGATAGTATCAGCTAAGTAAAGATAATTGAACTATGTTGATAATTTAAAATCTTAATTAAATAAAATGGCATACTAGGATTTGGAATATGAAGTACTGTTTGAAATTCAAAATTTGGGAAACTACTACCATATTTGAGTATACCATAAAATAATATATTTTATCGAGAAAAATTGTAATTGAGAACTTATTTTATTATAACTAATTAAATTATATTATAAAATATAAACCTCAAATTAAATTAATAATTATATAAATAATATATATATATATATATATATATAATATATGTATAATATTATAAATAGTTTTAATAGACAAAAAATATTACTACCTATCTTAGTATAATATTAAATTTTGCTAACACAATTGTTAAATGAATTGTAGCAAACCGATTTTCTAAAAATTTAAATAAATAAATAAATAACAAACACTTCTTTAATAATTATTGTATGTTATTAATATATTTCTACATCAATTGTATTATTACTTAATAATTAAATTAGATAACGGAGCACCATAATGGTATACTTAATCCTCAGCATTAATATTGGACTAGTATTCTTACCTTGCATGCCTCCTTCATTTCCTGAAATAAACATAGAACAATAAATTACTGTTCTGAGAAATTTATTCTGATAGTTAAATATTTATAATTCAAGTAATTTATAAATTTTAAAAATTCTACTAAAACAATTTTTTATAAATTGTCCAAATTTTAACAATGCATATTTAATTTATGTAATTTTACTAGAATATGCAACAAAATATTTTACACAAAAATGTGTACATTTTATGTTTAAAAATCAATCCGAAATATTTTAAACATGTAAGTTAATTTTAGTTTTCAAAAATGCTTCGTCTTAATTTTGTTTTGAAAAACTTTTAACTTCTTACATTGTACCGGTATAGAACGTTCACAATAATATACATTTTCTTTTTGGGAATGTTAACTTATACAATTATATACATACTAATTTAATTATTTTAAACAACTAAATTTAGAATTCAATAAAAAAATATTTTATTTCATCTTCTAATTTAGTTTAAAATGGCAGTAGAATATAGATATTGAATACTTAATTTATCATTGCATACCTATGTAAATTGTACACTTTGTACACTGTATATAACACCAAATCTCGGAACTTTAGTCATTTGCATATTTGTTTTGAAAGTGCATATTGAAATTCTGGTTCGATAGAAATTCAATTCATAATATGCAAATTTAAAATATAAACATTTTTGTTGTATAATTTTGCATATTTCGTTTTTTTTTTGTAGGAATTCGCATATTTTAAGTTTTAAGAACTTTTATATACATATTGCTTAGGTTTAACGAACAACTTTTTTTTTTACAAATTTATAGTTAAACAAAAGATATTAAACATACATATGAAAACCAAAATTTTACATTTTATTTCGTTTACTAAAATAAATTAATTCATCAATGGCTGTTTTAATATTGTTCCTAATACACGTAACAATGATATTATAATCTCTATTGTAAAATTGTAAAAGTGATCACTGTTCGACCTAAATTAATTTTTATTTAAATTTACCAATGCAATATTATTATACCATATTATAAAGTGATCATTATCAGTATTTATACATTTATACTCAAGAAGATTAAAGTTTGATGAAGACTGTATAGCTTACACAACAATACACAGGTGTATAGTGTTTATTTTTTCTTTAATTTTTTTTTAATTTTTTTTCCCGTGTACCTAATTTATGTAAATTATATTTTATTAAAAAAAATTGCATATTATAACATATTTTCTAAATTTTTATTTCATATTGTACCACATTTTATGATGTATTTTAACGCATGTATATGCGCATATTTGAGTACTTTTTAGCGCATTAAGTTCTGAGCTTTGTATAAAACGTAGGTATAGTAAATATTAATAATATTCTGTAATATAATTTATAAATTAAATTTAAATACTAGAGATTCATTTTAATAATCAAAATTTTATTTGGTTTTATAACATATAATGTGAATTGATACATACAATCAATCTAAAAATTAAAATTAAAAAAAATCATAGATTCAATTAGCTTCAACTTAAAAAATACACAGTAAAATAAATATTTCATCACTAATAACCAGAGCTCTTAAGTTCATGTATTTGCCTGATTTTTTTGCTATATCGGAAAACATGCTAAATGCGATACAAATCCTTTTCATATAAATTGTAATACAAATTTAATGTTTAATAGAGCATGTTTTTGGAATAATTGGCATACAATTGATTTTTTAGCTATTAGCGCATATTATTTTATGTAAATTCAGCAAAATCATTTTTTTGTGGAAATTAAAAAAAATCAGATCAATAAATGTTTGCATTCATTCTTATTTATTTATCAGTATTTTTATTGTTGTATGACATGGGTTTTATAAGTTGAAAGCAGTACTACGGAAACAATCATATTGTGCACCACTATCTCGCACCTGTTGATGTGTGCATTACAATTTATCAATTTATTTTCGTCTCAACACGTGTTCATTAATTATAATTTTAATAAAATGTAATCAAAAAAAAATATATATATAACTTTTAAAAATATGAATGTATAATTCTTAATATTTTAGAAAATTCTTATACATTTTTTTTTCGTGCATAGTTTAATTTTCAACGCTTACAAATGTATATTTTAAATTTTTAATTCGTATTTGAATGCATATTTTATCAAATGATAGTGCATTATTGCATGCATATTTATACGGTTTTTAGTCCATGAACTTCAGAGCCCCGCTTATAACTAATACACATACAGTACATAATATGTAAATACATAGTCATAAATATTATTTATTTTTTCATAGTTATTAAAATAAAGAATGAAAAACTTACATGATGACCAGCAGTGTGTTGGCAAAACTTTGTAGTAGGTAAGCATGAAAATATACATTTTTAGTTAGAAAAATGTTTCCGTAACAAATATTATTCCAAATAAAATAATTAACTATGTACAGATAAATGCTGAACAAAAATTTAATAAAATTTCTAAGAATTGGCACAGTATACTCTATAAATAAAGAATTGTGTAAAGTTTTTATTTACTCACAATTAAAAATGCACAACCTTTGAAATTAATTTTAAGAACAATTTTCCTTTTTTTATATCCTATTCAGTTATAAAATTATTATAATGGCATGTATACAGAGCTGAAAGATATCTGGAATAGTTCAATTTATTTCTGTACCAACTTCAAAAACTTATAAGAATTAACGGATTTCATTTTTTGTCAATTGAATCATTCTAAATAAATACCTATTATTTATAATTTATGATAAATTATTCAGCATTATATAACTAAAAAAAAAAAAAGAATCAAAATAAGTAAAATGTAATATTTAACATTTTTATAAATAAATGTCCGATGAAATGTCTATATACATTTGACTCGATTACGTACTCGTAAGTTTATTTAATAATTAAATAATACAGTAGTAATATATTTTATATACAATTATTTAATCATCATTTTTTTTAAAAAAGGTTTGTAGATTGAGTACTAAATATTTTGGTGTACTTTGAAAAAAATTGGCATGATATGATAACTTTATTAATAAAATTGTGCAAAATTTTATTCGTTACAAAATATACTGTACCAACTACAAATAAAATATTCAATCGGCTCATTTTTTTATATTTATTATAAGTATTCGATTTTCAGATAGGTTTCTCTTTTAATTCCCTACACAAAAAAAATTGTATTATTTTATTATCTTCATATTGAAAATTTGAAAATTCGCAATGTTAAATATATGTAAATAATTTATTGATCAGTGAAATATCAGTTCTTGAGTGTTTTATATCTTAATTTTGTTAATCTTTGCAGCCATTCAATAGCCTAAGAGTAAACACTAAAAATCGCTAAAATTATATATTTATCATTTATTACGCGAACAATAATTGTTAATTATTAAGACTCGATGTAGTTTTAATGATTGAAAATTAAGTTTGTTGTTATTATTTTGTATGTTTGTTTGGCATCGTAACCATAAATATATTCATAATATTTTTGAATCCTATTGCATAATTATTTTTAGGATGGTACTCTGCTAAGGCAATGCCATTTTAGATTATGAATAAAGTAAGAAAAAAAATGACACTTCGTAAATATAATTAAATTTATTATCACGTTTTTTATTCAAAATAGTAAAAATCTATATATACTTACGATGATTTTTTTAGTATGAGAATACAATTAGAGAAGAATAACTTAAAAATATTTATATGAATAATATATAATATGAATTAAATGATTCTTACCAAGCATGAATTTTCATGTAGTTTACCAACTTTAGGTCGAATAAATGCACTAGAAAATAAATAATATGTGATTTTAATGAATAACAATTTATGATTTCTTAATGCAATTATTACATTTAAATTTATTAACTATTTAAATACTACAGTTTTATGAAAAACGTGTAAATAATGACATAATACTTATTTTATTTAAAATTTGAGAATATATATGAAATTTTTTCAATGAAAAACTTCGTGAAAAAAAATAAATTTTATTACTGTTTTTCGTACCTTCTGCGATGTTTCAAATTAAACATTCGTCCAAATTTGTATTCAAGTATATAATTTAAATATTTAAGTATATTTTTATAAAACAATATAACACACAATTTTAAATTCATAATAATTTATGCCTATTTGTACAATGAAACTTCTATTAAAAGACACTTCTGAAAAATCAACACATGTTTCTCGGCGTGAATACAGAATACCTTTTTATTATAGATACAGTAAACTCTTAACTATGGACAAAGTCACAGCAAATCGATGTCAATTATATTATTTGCCTGTCGTCCCTTCTTTAATATTTAATGTACATATTATCAAAAACGTAGTCGACACAAAATTGGAAAATTTAGGTTAGTATTCTCGTATTCCATCCATTATACTTTTAATAATACTTAATACTAAACCATATTTTTAACTAAAAATTTTATAATTTTCACTTAATAAAGACGACTACCCATAACTAACTTCGTGTAAGATGTTTCATGGGAAATAAAAAGTCCCACTGATTTAGCTAATGGAGTTAATAGTAGAAATTATAACATATAAATTCCATCGATATGGTATTATTTTATTTTTTTTAAAAAAAAAAAAATGAGAATGTAAAATTATCGATTACAACTTTTTTTTAAGCTTTCTTACTTGATTTTTGTACTATTATATTTTAATTTATTATCTAATTATCTAATAATTGTATTATGATACGAACGTATAAGAGCAACTTCTATACACTGTAAAAATGGTATCAATAAACACCGCAGAATCTTACTTTACTATAAATAATTTTAAATTTTGAAAACAAATATTTTTTTAGTCTAGCGAAGAAAAGTGGCGGTACGACAATAAAAAGTACTCAGTAGTTTTAAAAATAATTGACTCGAAAAATAATCTAAAAATTAAATTTCATTAAAGAAAACATAAACACGACGTGTTTAAAGAAAATATACGAAAACACCAATTACGTTTTTGTTTACCGGTGAAATTTAGATATTTATCTGGTAAAAAAAGATCCATTGAAATTTACATTTTTTTCAGAATTAATATGAAAAAAGTTTCATAAAGGTCTAAATCGGTGGAATTTATATGTACCCGGTTTGACAGTATTTAGTTTACCAAAGAGTTCAACTAAAATTACATAGTTGAAAAAAGCAAGTGACACTTAGTCATAGTGTAATGCGGATGTAATAAATAATTATAATACTGTAATGAAAAAAGTTTATAATTTTTGTTTACAATTAAAGTCGTAATAAAATGTATTTTAGTAAAGTTAAGTATGAAAAAAAATTATTTATTCTGGTTTTTTTATGCTACTTCGGCGGGGTTCCCATTACATTTATTTGCATATATATATATACTCATAATATGTATAGTGACACAATAAGATTCTATAAAAATAATGACTAATTTTAATATTGATGCATTGTATTTAAAAATCTTATTACCTTCAGGTATAAGTAGTTTTTATACATAGGTAAATTAAATTTATCACCATATTTTATAACAGTCGCTTAAAAAATAATTGTTAATGGATCAGCAAAACGAAAAAAATGCAAATGATACACATCAGCTACGCATAGATCAAAACACTAGCATGTATAATAGTTGAAAATCATGTGTCATAGGAATTATAGTTAATCACATTAGTAATAATCCATGCGCGTCATATCCATAGGCACGATATTACCCCAATGTTATGTACATAAATATATAGTTATACACTTATGTACGGTCGGGTCCAATTTAAAGTTGAGATTCGATTCGTGTAAGCCTTCTAGCCTTAGTTGTCATATCTAATTCGCGCTGATACGATAATAAAAACACGCGATACACTTTCGTGTGAAACGTACACGCGTCTGCCGTTTCACATGAGGATGCAAAAATCGCTCAAGTCTCTTCTCGGCGGTTTATATTCACCAGATCTACGGGGATTCCCTTGAACGTAAAAAAACGATAATAACCTATACAACGTATACGTTCCTCGGGTTAAATCTCTCTCTCTCTCTCTCTCTCTCTCTCTTTCTTTCACACACATTCTATCTCTTCCTCCTCCTCTGTTTCTCCCTAAGTGAGAAGCTTTCGAGTGGAAGTAAATCAAAGGTTCTGAATATCAGTACTCGCCGTAACCACTCGAGTACCCTATACCAACCGCCACTTGTACCTCGCGTTTACGGATACTTCGTACTCGAGTACACGTATTCAATTTTGCCGGTTACCGAGTGTTGAAACGAAAAGAAATCTTCCTCCGGCCCTGAACCTCAGTTCTTGGGCGAGAGCTTACTCGAATTCCCGACTCACCTGGTCAGACCCCAAAAAAAATTTTGAAGGTTGACGGGCACGGGCAGATCGTTGGCGGCCGTCAGGTCGTTCCAGTTCAACGGGTTGCTGTCCATGGCCAAGTCCGACGTCCTCGGGCGGTACGAAGCGAGGCGGCTCTTCGGCCGCGGTGGTTCCGGATCCGACCGGCGATCGTCACGCCACTCGCACCGGCCGTCGACGCAGTGCCGTGGCGCGCCGCGCCGCGAATTCAAAGTGCACCGACCGACGTCGGCGGCCCGTCAGTCACGTGGACCGCGCGCGCCCGAGAGACGTGGTGCACGTACGTCCTCCTCGCACACGGCGTCGTCCATTCGTCCGGAGAACGGTGGCGGACGACGCGAGCGGAAGCGATGACGACGACGGCGGCGGCGCGACGATCGATACGTAGTACGGACGTGCACGTGACGACGCCGTTGTGAACGGGCTGCGCGACGACGAGTCCCGCCGCCACACTAGGTGACCACGATTCGCGCACGCGCCGCGCCCCGGTCGTCACCAACCCTACCGCCCCGCGGTGGATATACACTGTGATTATCGCGTCGCGTGAGCTCACGTCCCGTTCGGCCGGCTCACGTCCGGTCGCATTACGCCCGCACGAATGCTAATGCGATCACATTAATAACATCGTCAAACTATCGTGTCGCATCAATCGGTGTGTGACTTTCGTTCAGGAGGGCCAGGGGACTCGGACTTCGAACTGATTTTTACCAGTGCAATTATTTACCCGTCATTATCAACGATATGATATTTAAATATAATACAGTAGTACGTTTGAGAATACCGACTAATATTCCTATTATTGTACACGTCGTACAGTGCTATATTATTGTTTTGTAATAAATTCAATCTAAAAACTATGTAATATTTTAAACCGAGTAATTAAATAATTGTTGAAATCGTTGTACAAGTATAGTACATACATGTAAAATAAATAAAACTACGCGATGTCTCATTTGTTCCGCTAATATTTCTTCAACAATTAATAACAGCTCAATTTTCGCCAAATAAAAATTTCAAATCGGCATGAAATGTGATATCACGTAAAATCAAATATGTGTAAAACTATAGAAAAATAATAAAAGTAATATCACCTGGTTAGGGGAAGGTTCACAGGGGTGTATTGGTATGTATACACGGGTATACCCTTCAGTAGATGTTCGTTTTTCGGCGTACATCTAATGTAAAAATATTATTTTACGGGTATACTTCTCTAAAATAACTCGAAAACCAAAATTGAATACTAGTTCATTGAAAATAAATGTTATAAACTATGAAGTTTGAACGAAATATTTATCTGTTGAGGATTACACTGAGAATTGCTGTGTTTAATGTATTTCAAGTTCAATTTAATAAATAAAATTTTGAATAATAGATATTATTAAATATAATATGGAGTATGGATATTCAGCCCGTGGTTTTTAAATATGCATAATGCTAATCATGCAATTTATTACGCGTGGCAAATGTATATCTTGTAGTGTTGTATTATATTGTCGTATTAGAAGATATAAACATATTAGGGATTAATTAAATTTATTCAAACGAAATGAGAACATTTTTTTGAGGTTAATATCTGTATTTTTTTAATGCGTATACCCTTAAATATATTTACCAATATAACACTGGGTTGATTAGTTTCTTACATACTAAAACAGTAAGCGTTAGTAGGTTTCACATATTAACCGTGCGACGACGTGACGTGAGTTAGCGGAATAAGATGGGAGACGATAGAACAAATTTACCTTTTTTTCTAATAGTCGATGAGTAATCTACGGCAAAAAAAAGTTCAACATTATACGATCTGCAAAAAAAAACTGATAATATTCATTGTACGAACTGCGGAAATTACCATTATATCCTTATGTAAATAAAATAACGGGCCGTTTTTTATGTTTCCATTTACAAATTATGTAGCATATTGCTAGTATGTAAAATATATCGTATTAATTAACAACAGTTGTACTCGATATAATTAAACGATAAATGTATTCACAGTTATATATATATTGTTAACGTATGGTTTATAAATGCATCGTATACAAACAATAGGTATATAAAATAAATTTCCTCAGTTCGTATAATTTATCTTGTCGGTTTTATCGCAGATTGTATGTATTAGAAAAAATGTTTATACGCCGCAGTTGATGTACAGTCAATATGATGCAAGTTTATGTGACGTGATAGTAATGTGTCTCCATCTTGACTCTGTGCACCATGTTCACCCACCGACCATCAGGTCCACGCTAAAACTGTTTCTCACTCGTTTTCTCGTTCACTCTCTCTCGCTCTCTCCAGTACGCGTACGCGTTTTATCGTTTTGGCCCTTATATGACTTAATGGCGCCGTTTGCAAAGGAGGCAACTCATGCATTTTTCATAGACTAGAATTTAAAGTCGACACATCATAAAAAATAAATAGATACGTCTTTTTTTAAAAAGAAAAACGTATTGAAGTATTTTATTGACATGTTGGAAATCAGAAAAATAAGATGTCTGACAAACGGGAAACACGCATTTTTTCTTTTTTTTTTTTTGAATGAGTCGAGTTTAGTGATGTGTCGTGGATAAATACCCAACGAGTTGGTAAATATTTTAGGTATTTACCCACGAGTAGATTTAACTACCAAAAATTTGGATAAATATTTTTACTTATTTAAAACATTATTTTAACCATCATTAAGTTTTATTTAATTGTTATAATATTTTATATATTGTTGTACTAAATTTGTACTCGTAATTTAAAAAAGATTTTTATATTTCATAGTTATGAGTTTATGACTTATGGAGTAATGACAAATTATTATTTAATTTTAAATAATATCATATTCTTCATAATTTTGTTGCTCATGTGGTATCGAATCTAATATATATATATATATATATATATATATAATATTTTTTTTTTTTTGTGAGATCTTAATAAAAGTAAAGACTAAATGTTATGTTTAAGGTTATTAACGTTTTTATATTCTTATGTACATAAAAATATTTAAAAAAAAAAGAATATCTGATTAAAATAATCATGATTCTTTATGTTTCATAAGAATAATTTATGTATTTAAATTCCAGTTAAACTTTAAAGCCTCTAGTTTATTAAAATGGAAAATAAAGACTGAATTTTATGTTTATGTACATTTGTTTATAATTAAAGGTTTAGTTGTCTAATCACTATAATTATTATTAGGGCCGGTTCGAGGTATAGGCGAGCTAGACACCTGCCTAGAGTGGCACTTTAGTAAGGGCGACATTTTCAAAATTGACTCGTACATTTTTTAGTTACATCGGTGTTTTATAAGAAAATATTTAAATTAATTAAATCATGAAAACTACTTACCTATATAATAAAATAATATTGTCTAAAGTTATTATATTACATTATATTACGGCCTACGCTTAGCGTTTTCAATTATTCCAAAAATATAAATAACCACACAATCACTTCCACGATTTCCGATAGTCACGATAGTGATGGGTTTTAAGTAATAATTATAGAAATCATTTTTAAGTCTTAATTATAATTTTATACATATTATAATTAACATATTATACATTTTTATATAATCTTATACATAAAATAAAAATTAAAAATAAATTTTATGCTGATATGTCACATAAAAAATAGGGAGAGGGACTTAATTAAAATAAGAGCTCAATTTTTTTTTAGAGGAAGAAAATTTTGATTTAGTCTAGTGCACTATTTTTGCTTGGGCCGGCCCTGGTTATTATCAAACATAATCAATTTTAATTTTTAAATTCCATCTTAAAATTTGAAGCATTTGAATTAGTTGTTAAATTCTTAGATTTATTTGTTTCCCTATTTAAAGTGGTATTGGTTACAAAGTGAATAAAATTAACAAAAACTTTATAAATACAATTTATTTACTCTAATCATCAGTCTTGGAAATACATTGAAAGGCCAGGAAATAATCATAAAAAAGTATTGTGCAACATACTTTTGTAAAAAAAAAAAAAATGGAAAAAAATAATAAAAATTATGTTTTAGAAATGGAAAAATCTGGACTTTGGACTGATATTTTATATGTGAGAAATGTATTAACTCACCATGCCTCAAGTTAAATTTATAATGTCAACAATAATTCGGTCGAAGGTTACAATAGTATTGTTGCTAAATTTGTAGGTGGCAAAAGAATACATTTTTATCATAAAAGGGTTATGTACTCAAAAAGCGCGATGTACAGCTGCAGTGTTATCTTATATTACAGGACCGAAATGTATTAGCATTTTGCATAATAAGATTTGCAATATTAGTCCTGGTGATTTTACGAAGCGTTTTATAAGTGGAAAACAGAAGAAAAAAATATGTAAAATGGAAAGAAAACTTTTATTTGAACCAAGAAGTAGACGAGTTACTAAAAAAAACTTACCAGATAATGACTATGGAAAATGCGAATAAAATATGTGTGAAGAACTGGATATGGATGGAAATAATTACGAAAAAAAAAGAATTGGAATATATGAACAATAAAATAACATTTTCATACAACGAATAATTGATTATAATACGGTAATATACATCAGAATTGTTCATATGACATACATTATATTATTATAAATTATAATCATTTATTACAGAATATATTTTTATAGAAATTACAAGTTAAAAGTCGAAAATACATTTTAGAAATAATTTATGCTAGGATCAATGTTATTATTATTATAATGCTTATAGTATGCTTATTCAATTATATTATATATGCAATTCATATTATTTGTGACTACGATATTTGGTACGACGTCGGAACGGTTTCTATGAAATCAATAAAATTAATGACCGATAACGTTGATAAAGATTTTAGATTAGTCTCACACACACTAATGTGTATTTACTTTCCACACACTAACAAGTCAACCTACTGCGTCATGTTAAATTGCCTATGCTATTTTCCTTAAAATATGGTCGTCTGCAGCCCCCTTAATAAAAGTAGGTAGAAATGTTTTGGTTAGTTTAATACATCGAAACCGCTGTGAAGTAGTTTATCTGTTACAGAACGAACTATTACTTAGGATAAAAATTCGGCGTGCAATTAAGAATTTCCTCCATCTATTATTGATGAAAATTAAATTACTGTGGAATTTCGATTTTAACCACGATTAATATACCGTGATCGTGATTGAACAAAATTATAAATGTATTATTATACATTCTCATAGATACAGTGTATGCATAACATTAATATTGAATTAGTAGGCAATAGAACATGGTAATGTAATTATTGTTTTTTGCAATCGCCGTTGTATTATTTCGTAAGAGATGGACGAAAATATTTATTTTTATTCGTTCAAGTATAAGTAGAAATATTTTACTTAAAACGTTTACCCAAATTCTGAAAATAATTAATGGAATATTTTTATAGCTTTCTATTATGATTATAATTTTATAATTCGGTAATAGGTGTAATGACATATTTACATACACATGTATTAGGTACGTTACCTACTTATGTACGAGTACATTATTTTGGGTTCGTACAAAACGTTTGCTGATTGCAATTTGAGGAAGTTATAATACTTAATGACAATAATCGATCATCATGTTCGTGTAGATAATTTTTTTTTCCACCAAAAATCGAGTTATACTTGATGTAATGGTTATTTCTCACATTATGGTCGCGTCACGTACATTTAAAACGGAAAGCCTCGCGGTCCATCATCGTACGACAGGCATTAAAAGCAATCCAAGTCGTTCTTCATGCGGACAGGAGACGGTCGCGTTTCAAGCACGTTCAACAAAGTCAGCCGAAAATTTTACAAACCGAATCGCAAAGAAAATTATCATAACAATCGCTCGTGCGATAATAATAACATGATGTAAGACATGTTTCACACATTAACTAAAAATTATTTTAATAACATTTTTGAAGTTTTCACAAAACTCTGGACAGTGGTCGGTTATGAAATTCGAGATGAGAGGGAGGTGGGGGGGACAGACAATTGTTTGTGCAACATAGACGACCAAATAGGTCAGACCGGGCCTGGTTGTAACACGATGGAGGTCGTGACGACGTAACCGTAATCGTTACACCGCCGCCGCCGGCTTAGCACAACGTTGTTGTTGCGGCGACTGTTGATAACAACATTCGGACAGTCTATCAATTTGGCAGCGTCCGTGATCAATGATAACACAGGTACAACATTATCGCCGTAACACTCAAAGCTGACGACCGCGGTCTTGCGCGTATTGACCGTTCATCTTTCGGTGGGTCATGTAGTTGACCGCTGTTTTCCGTTAACCGTATAGACGTAAAATAATATTGCATTACAATCGTGATAATAATCGTTTTCGGTGGTCGCAAACTCGCCCGGCGGTTTCGGAAATTCATCAGGTAAATAATTTTGTATTATCGGCGACGATAACTTCTCGATCGATGAAAGTAGTACCTATTTTTATATATTATTTTTTTGTTTCCGTCCCGATTTAATGTTCTTGCATGCAATTTTCGTTTGTTGTCATAACTTAACCGCCAACTGGGCCAAGTTTTAACTTACGAGTTGTAATAAAAAGTTACTGTGTAAAATATTAATACAATAAAATCTCCAAAGGCCCAGAATATTGTCCAAAATATAATTAGGTATTACCTACATGTTTCGGCCTAGACCATAATCAGACAGTAAAAATTATTAAAAATAAACATAGATTCATAGAAAAATATTAAAATTGTATACGAGTAATAGAAATAAATCGTAAAGTAAAAATAACAAAATAGTAATATGAATATAATAAAATATTTTTATCTAGTAGGTTTACATGATTTGTAGCTGTTGAATGCACGAGAATTTAAAAAGAATGTCATACGAAAAAATAGTGACTACTTATATATATATATATATATATATATATATATATACTTACATATACGCTAACAACTTGTTTAGTTTTTCTCTGAAATCTTTATATAACTCTTAAAAAATTGTTTTCATTGTGTATTACCTCCATCATAAAAGTTTTCCTTTTTTTTCGTTTTTATATGTTATACACTTTTTACCTTCATATAAAATTGTGTTTTACTCATATGCGTGATATGTAATTTTTAGATTTTACAATACGAAATAACGAAATCTTACTTCGTTCGTCTCGACTAAAAAAATCAGCCTACTACTTAAACCTATACAATTAAATTATAATCTTATATAAAATTTTCAAAGTTCTGAAATAATTTAGGTAAATTCTGCTGGAAGATAAGAATCTTAAATAGGTATTGCATTGTAAAATAAAATTTAACAATAATACTTTGTAATTTTATCAACATCCTCTGATTAAGCATTAATTTTAATACTGTACTATCAAGTTTAATTAAAATAGTACCTACTGATTATTAATTGAGTTTTATATTTATACTTTATTCTTAATATTATATCGTACAATCGAAACCAAGTAAATTGTAGCAAACTAATCTTTGAGATATGTTTATCTATCTAATTCATCTAATTAGTTTTGATATTTGCTGTGTTAATTTAACTTAACATTTTAATAATCATTAAATTGATAAGTTAATTTAAATTTAAAATAATTTTTCGCACGTTTAACACGGATGAATGTAAACCCAACAATGTATACTTTAATTCACTAATTAATATTCCTGGTCGATGGTAATAATATTCATAAAATATAAATATATTCCAAAGGTTCTTACCTACTGTGTCAATAAGTAAAAACAACGTATCATTCATTGTACTTATAGAAAATAAAGAATCATTGTTTAAAATGTTTTATTTAAAATTATAAAATAATACATTTTGGTGATTTTTATTGAATAATTTTGATGATTATCTTTTTAGTACAAAAAATACGTTTTCATCTATGAGTGCTATTCATTGTTTATATATTTTTTTAACAACTTAACCTTAAACTCCGTGAATTTCAATTAGACAATTTATCATATTATTATGATATTTTTAACTTTTTTTTTATGTACCTATTATATAGGTACCTAAAAAATATATTATGTTACAGTATATATTATTTATTTTGTAAAAATAATGTTATATTGCACTTTGTTCATACCTCTTTTAGTATCTCATGATATAATTATTCACATAACGTAGTTTTGAATATTCAATGAATAATTATTTATTTTGTCCTTATTGTTTTGGTTTCATTATTTTTTCATATTTCACTTACATTTTCTGATTAAAACAGTCAATTTTTAACTCAATAATATCTACTTATTGCTTTATAAGTTAAATCGTATATTTTCTGTATGTACATTTACCATATATTATAAAATACGTTAATTATAGTAGAATTTATAGTTAATTAAATAGTAATTTAAAAATTCAAAAGTCCATATCCATATCCATTTGACATAAATTGTTCGCAAAAGTACTTGAAATTATGTATTTATGTAATTATGTAATTTCCCATATTTTACATACAGTTTTTCAACCGATTAAGGACATTCATCTATCGATTTCTTACACAGTATGTCTATGAAAATATTTGCAATCATTTTGGTTTCAATTGGTGTTCAAACACATTCTACAAATATGGTCGAAAACCCCACGTGAGTATATCTAATAGCTGTTCCTACGTAATGTTCTCGATTTAAAAGTACCTACGAGTATAACGTTTAACGAATAGATTTTTTTTTCTTTTAAATATATATCAAAACATCTTCGAAAACCATTAAAATATCACATATTAAATGTGATAAAAAATAATTTTAAATCGAACCGTATAACATTTTTACAAATATTTGATATTAAAACTATGTAAATAGGAAACGATGAATTAATGTACCGCTTTGGAATAATTCGAACACCTGGACGGGACCCCCTCTCCAACACGTAGATACAATTTTACGAAAATCCAAACTGTTACGATTGAATTTGATTAAAAAAAAATAATTTTTTTTCTTCGTCAATTCATGATTATTTGAAATATTTCGAGAACCTTTGCGACGTGTGGCAAATCGTATCGTGGAAAACCTGAAGCCGTAACGAGACGCCGTCGTTCAGGCGATCTCGAACAGGCAATCAATAATAATCGCGATAGCTGCGCTCGCGTCGCGACGGCGTTTGACCGTCGTTCAAAAGAGTAGCGGAAAAAAAACTCATATCGGATTTGCCAGTGGCGTAACGCTGTTGGCGTCCGAACTCGTGCAAACCGTTTTCCTTCTTTTGGTTGCAGATCGAAGCTGTTACTGTTCGACTTCCGGACCGCGGCCGGTCTGAACGGTTGGTCGGAACAGTCGGACACCGTGAGATCGGCGGGCAGATCGAAAGCCACGTTCGACCTGTACAGAATGCAAACCGCGCCGCAGTCCGCGATCCTCTTCACGTTGCTCAATCCGCTGCCGAACGGCGCGTGTTTCGCCGGTGTCCGCGTCCCGACACAACTGAACTTGGCCGGTTATCATCACGTAGTGTTTTCGTGCAAGACCACAGGAAACGCGACCACGTACAAGATCGTGTTGAGGCACAACGGTTTAAACGACGAGCCGTACCCGACCTACGAACAAAAATTCCAGGTCAGTAGGTACCAACCCCGTTCGACCGTTAGAAAGAGGTGCAACTAAGGGGCTTAGCCCCCCCCCCCCCGGACCAATATTTAGCCCCCCCTCCATAAATATTCCATGTTATACATGGCATACCGCATACAGCATACTGAACTCCAATAATGTCACATACAAAAAAAGACACATTACAGTAAATCCAACTTGGCTCAGAATCTAAAATATATTAACATGGTATTATAAGAGTAGGGGTAATCTACAGGTTATTTTAAGTTTTAGTAGGAGGGTTGTAGCCCCCCAGATTTTTTACCCTAGTTGCGCCTATGCCGTTGGATATGTATACAGTGCTCGCAGCGTTATCGGTGAAGGACGCATGGACGGACACATCGGTATCGCGACGAAATTATTTCTTTCCCTCCCACACCATGTTTCTGAACATATTGTGTAACGCATTTATTCAAATACTGGTTTAACGTTTATGCGAATATCAACAGGTTGAAAACAATTCGGAAACCGTTGTGAAATTGCCACTGTTGAAATTCCAACCCTATTATAGGGGTAAAATAATTCCAGACGGCCCGGCATTAAATGCTAAGAACATTACTTCATTTGGCATTCAAGTTGCTGGAGGTGTTTATGAACATTTCAAACAATCCGGTTTGTCATCATTTGAAGTCGATCAAATATGGGCAGATAACTAATCTTTATAATTGTTAGATTATTAGATTATATACATAGATATTGTAAATCGAAAGGTGATTTAATTAAATCGTTATTAGTTCTGCATCAAGAAAATTGTTTGAATCGATTGCCTAAGACATATATTAACGCTTTTTCATTTAATTATATTAACTGTATTGTTTTTAATTATGCATAACATTTACATAAATTTAAGTTAACATTTTAAGCTAAATCAATAATATTTTAAATATAAAATAACTTCAAAATAAAACTTTTTTTTTTAAAAGAGAGCACTTTTATTTACATATGTACTTCCAATATTTTATAATAGTCGTAATAATTACATAATTTATATTATTTAAAAGTATCATAAACTATTAGTAATCAATTTATTTTAATAAAGTCTACAGTTAAGTTTTTAATTATTGTATGACAATTATGTACAATTCAGGAAATAAATATTTAAGAATATATTGAATTGCGGTTCATCAACACTATATACATGCAAGAGCATGTTCTTCCTCCTTGCTTCTCCATATCTTTTACATATCTACATTTATACATAAAATATTATAATTATTAATTTCTATTAAATATATATTAAATTTATTTTGTTAGCTAATCTTATCTCTTATGAACAAAATGTTATCATAGGAAAACAAATCCTAGGAATCATAGATACTAATTAAAAACCCCTTGAAAGCCACCAATCACCCATCCCTCTGCCCAGGATTTTTGATGAAGTCTTTGCATACATACATATATATTATATATGTGTATGCGTGTGTAATGTGTTAAGATAATAATAAAAGCTCAAAAGTAAGCAAGAAATTGATTAGCTCTATCATAATTATAAAATAAAATACAATATAGTTCAGGAATAGTTCAATTAAGGTTCAGGAATATGGAAATGTATAGATTTATAGACTACAAATGATAAACATAATAACAAATTTAATTTAAAAAAGATGTTTATTTTAATGATTTGGCATTATATTTGAATTCAAACACTTAAATATTTTAAATTAATACATTGAAATACAACATAATATTATTTAAAATAAATTAATAGAAATTGTTAGAACCTACTAAGTAAGACATTTTAAGAACTTTATTAAACCATTAAACCATATTGATATATAATTATATAATAGTATATGTATATATATATATATATATTAGAGATGTGCACGGGTAGGGCCAACCTGACCCAGCCGTACCAGGCCGTACCATTATATAAATATTGCGGGTTACTTATGGGTAGAATTGTAGTATTTCAAAATTATAACTACCTAAATATAATATAATAGTATATGTAATAAACTGCAAAAAAAAAAAAAAAATTGCAGACTCGGCTTAAGTGGGGGCGTTTTGTAAATTTAAGTTTTGTGCCAGATCGAACCAATAAAAAAAGGCCCATTCAGATATCTAATATATATATATATATATATTGTTGTGCGACTATAATTCTCATTCAAATATAATGCTTTCAGTACAATTAAATTTATAAAAAATTTAACTTAATTTCATTTAGTGAGATTTTAGTATTTATTTGGTGCTACAAAAAAAAAAAATTATATTAGAAATGTTATATGTATACAATGAAGTTTAAAAGTGAATGCAAGACTTAAGCATCGTTGTTGAGAAGACTTTCATCCAATGATTTGTATGTAGTCATGTCAATACCCATTCTAAAATAAAAAAAAAAATTGCGATTTTAATAAAATAATAAATGCAGCTTTCTAAAATATTATACACACAATATTGTATTAAAATCATCTATTTAAAAAATAAAATTGAATAAATCAGTAGTTCTGTACATTTAATTATCATTATCGAAAGTAAAACTATTAGTTATCATTTAATTTTAATCTTTTTAATTAAGGATACTTCAACTTATTTATAAAATAACTTATAATACTAAATAAATAGTTTTAAAATAAATATTTAGTTATAAATCACAGTCAAATCTCCTATAACTTAAGCTAAAGTTAACTAATTATTAATTACATATTTAACTTACAGAAAGTAAAAATTGCCCAAAAATTGTATTAATTTTTGATAAATAACTAAATTAAATAAATCCAAAACTAAAAAATACATTTTTTTTTAATAATATTTATGATTTTATCTAGTAACGTGATTTCTTATTTTTATTAAGTAATAACTAAGTATTAAAAAAAATATGCTAAAATTGAATTAATAAGTTATTTACTTTTATTTAATACACAAAGCAATGTAAAGTGCTTAATCTATTATAAAAATAAATTACTTTTTAAATTCCTCAGCTACATTCTCCAATTTGGATGGTGGGCAAACCATTGCTGTTCTTGTAAGTTTTGGATCAAATAATGACATAACATACTTTTTTCCAATTGTTGGCATTTCTTCAAGTTTAACATCAGATATTTTCTTAATGAGATCTCTAAATATTTATATTAAATATTCTTCAATATTATTTAACATAAATTATTTACAAATCATGAATTACCGATTATAATTTGGTGAAAGATTTCTAAAATGAAATAATACGGATTGTGTAATTAAACTACCAATTGATTTTTCTCTTTCAACAATTTCAAAAATAATAGAACATTTTGCAGATTCAAATAGTGTTTGATCCCAAATTGTACCATCAATTAAATGTTTTTCCTATAACATGAAATATAACACTAAAATTAATATCTTAAATACATATTGAAAACCTGTGTTTTGTTTTTAGACAAAATATAAAAGGTATACTAAAAGATCAATTTTACATTTTAAATCAAGTCAAATTTCATTCATTTAATTTTTTAAAAATAGTTAAATTAACGTACTAATATTTCTCTAGTTTCTTTATATGCAGCAGGTACATTTACTGATCGATAAAAATGCAATGAAATCAATGCTTCATTAGGTCTAGGATTAATGCTATAAGAGTAAGCATAACCAAGTCCTCGAATATTTCTCCACATTGGTCCCTATTATGTAGAATATAAAATAAATGTTAGGAAATACAGTAGAATCCGCTTATAACAATCTATAAGAGACCTAAAGAATCAGATCGTTATATCCGAATTTCGTTGTATCCGGATGACGAAAACATGAAATATAAAATCGACCAAATACGAATCGTTTTAACCGGAATATCACTGTACATGGCATTGTAATAAGCGGATTTTACTGTACCATTATTAATTTATAGGGTTATAAATAGAGCACAGATTTATAAGTAATTACTTTCTTTTTAGTGTTGACATAAAATTATGCGAATAAAATATCAAATGATTGTTAATACATTATTTTCACAAAACCTTTGAATCAATTTACAAATGTTTATTAAGTTTTATATACATAAAAGCATATTTATAGACATTGTATAACAAAAGAAGTTTAAATATTAGATATACAATAATATAATCCTTTTGTATTCAGTTATTAACTGTTATATTTTAATAGTTTATAAAATAGTATATAAAAGAATTTATATTTTTAATTTTTAAATAAGAATATTTTTAATTTAGAACATTTGTTATTAAGTCATTTTGCAAAATTCATCAATAGAAAAAAAAACCTTAATTTTTATATTAGATTTTATCCTATTTCTTGTAAAATAATAATTTTGACATTTTTACAACATTCTATGATTAATTTAAGCGAAAAAATGATTAATATAATGTTATTTTAGAGTGTATCAAAATAGTATATTGTTTTTTTAGTTACAAATTAATATAGTGTTTGAAATATTTTAATAAATAAATCAGTACTCTAATAAAACAAGTATTTATATAGTATTATAAATATATGCAAAAATATACTTCTAGCTGTGTAAAATATTGTAAAAAAACTAATAGAGCTGCCATATCTGGATGATTAAAGTCACTGATACAATCAGTTACTTGTGTGAAGTAACTAGACTCAATAGCACCCATAGCAACAGCACATGCACGAACATTACATTGATCATTTGGTAAAATGTATTCAAAATCAAAAACTGTTTCAAAACTGAAATATAAATAAACGATTAAAATATTTACTACAAATATTGATTCATAACTATATTATTTCTTACGATTTTTCTGAACTAATAACATTATTTGGTACTAATTGTTCCAATAATAATGATGCGTTTGGTTTTGTCTTACATAACATATCCAAATCAGCAGATATATGCATTTTTATATTTTTTGGATTTGTCAAAACGGTTTTCATCGCATTCAAATCTTCATTTATAGATGACCATCCTTCATCTAATACAATTTTACTTTGTAAGTTGGTTAAGAATTTATGTTGTCTCAGTGTACTGCATGCATAGTGATTGCTATCTAGATGGAAAATAATTATTTAATAAAAAATTAAATTTAATCTTTTGTGTATGAAATGTATCAATTTTCTATAATATTTAATATACAAATATACCAACTTACTATTTTTGTAAATTATATTGCGCAGTATATCTTTTAACATATGATTACCATCCCTTCGATAACATGAAATTTCATTCATAATTTTTGATAAACTAATTCCAAATTTTTCTTTAGTTATTTCTGCGTTGTACAAAAAATTATGTAACCATTTTATTCCTTTATCATACTTCTTAGGTTCTAACTGAAATTGTAAAATATAATTAAATCATAATTATATTGTATTTTGAAAATATTTCATTATATTAGAATTAACTAAGAACAAATATATTTTTTTCATTTGATAAAAACAAGTTAACTATTATTACTTGAAAAGTTATTGAAATAACAGAAGAAAATGTTCCACATAAAAAGCGAGATGATGATGTAGATCCTATTTCTGAGTTCCATGAAACTATATCTTTTTCTAATTCAGCAATTATATCAGTATAGTGTATTTTAACACCATCACATATGACTGTACTTTCCATTAACAAATCAACCATTATTGGTAAATACATACGAAGATTCAATGGTAAATTATTTGTATTTATAAATGTGAAAAACTATAATATGTAAATTGAATATTAAAATGTATTTTTTTTATTTAATCAATTGATCTGAAATATAAATAAATTACTGTTAACTTACATAAACGAAGTTACTTTTTATGTTGTCGACTTCCATATATATAGGCGCATTAGTTATTTTAAACAGTTCATGCTGAGTTTTAGAATTTGTAGAATAAGTGTCAAATGAATAGAATTTTATGCATTCAATATTAGGTATTTGAAGTGAAGTTAATAGTTTTTCTGGGGGTTTAATCTAAAAAAAAAGTAAACAATCAGAATTAAAATCAAAATATTTAAGTATAAAAAAATCTATTAAACATTAATTTAATTTTACCTCACACTCTACTTTAGCATTTAACAATTCAACTGCCTTTTTTTTTAGACCTTCTTCGCCCAACGTCCTTTTTCTTTCTTGTACTCTTTCTTTTTCTTCAGCGGCTAGTTCTTCTTGCTTTTTTATAGAAGGCATTCCTCTTACAATTACTTTATGGCTTTTAATGAAATATTTTTCTAATATTTCTTTCCAAAAAATTAATTGTTTTTCATGTAATTGATTTAATATTTTTATTTTATTTAATTTTTGATTAAGCTGAATTGTTAACAAATATTAAAATAAAATTATTAATAACTACAATTGTAAATTGATAAAATTGTCAACAACTCACATCAATAAGATCCTTTCCATACAAAAAATCTTTAATAATTACCGAAGACAGTGATTCATGAGGGCAATTATCTAAGCTACTTAACACATTAAGTTTAGATCTATCAACAAATGTTCTTAATCTTTTTAAATTAAAATTACTTTCACAAGACATAAGTTGATTAAACACTTCGTCCAATTTTGAAGGTATTGTTTTATCATCCATTTTTTCTATGGGTACATTTTCAAAATATATGTATGTTGTAGGTTCATTATGTGAAGTCATGTAATATGAGACCTGTAAAAGTAATTTAACGAATTAAAAATTATTCTAATAGACAAAAAATAATAATTATATGGTCAAAAAAATCATCACATTAAATAATACCTTATATTATATTATAAAATACATAAACGTTCAGAGAAACTAATAACACATTTTAATTTTATAAAACATATAAATTACGTCATAATTAATTTTATTTTATTCTTAGTGATATATTAAATCTTAATTTGAAACTAATTAAATAGAGAATTCATTATATACACCTTGTGAACAATAATACATTTTACACACAGAGTATATATTTACAAAAGCAAATATAAGTGCCCTTATTATAATTATATTATGTGGCTAAGATAGTAAAATTTCCAGGAGAAAAAAAAAGGTAAGGAAAAATATAATTTAGATATGTTGAAATAAGTTTTGAAATAATTAGAAACCCGAACTTTCATGAAACAAAATTTTTTTAAAAATTCAATTATTAATTATTTTTCATGTCTGATTTCTTATACATACGCCTGTATTTATATAATTTTACAAATATTGTTAAATTATCTACAGATTTAAGTTTTACATTTTTATTTTTCATCGTTCAATTAAATTTCAATTACTAATTTAAATATAAATTAATTTACCTCACTACAAAACGGGTCTTCAATTTCAACCATTTCTTTGGGCAAAGGACTTATTGGAGTATCCGTAAGGTATTTCAACAACAGCTCACAAGCAAAATAACTATATAATATAAATCAAATAATTAGATAAAAATTTTAATAAATTTACAAAAAAAAAAAAAAAATATATTTATTTAACTCAATAATATCGTTAGGGCCTCTATAACCAATACTAATTACACCATTAGTTTCTTCATCAGAAGGATAAGGTATAGCAATATTAAACGATTCAGTTAATGGATCTACTTGACTTTGCCATGGTCTAATATAATCTCCTCGATTACCCTACAAAAAAAGGAATTTTTATGGCTTTAGATTAAATATTGTGAAAACTAGTGAATAATTAATAAAACACATTAATATATTAAATAAGTAAATGCATTACTTTTGATAAAATCTTTTGTATGAATGGCTCTAAAGCATCAAATACAGTATTATGTACTATTTTTCCACTAATAAGAAGTAGTACATTTTCAGGTCGATAAAACGCATGGTGATATTTGCGAATCTATAACAAAATATAAATATTTATTATTATTAATTATTAAAATAAAATATATTAAATATTTTATTACATTTTCATTTGTAGTTGATTCACGTAGATTTTTCATAATACCTCCAGTTTCTGATTTATAACCACATTTTCCTGGATATAAATGTTGTAATAAACTTCTTCCCACAATACTATCACTACTATTTTCTCTACCTTGCATTTCACAATATACAACACCAGCATCTTGTGCATCATATGTTATATGATGAACTTCTGTGACAAATCCTGCATTCTAAAATCAAAATTAACATCAATATATATATATTTTATAAAATATATTTAATTCATACTAAATATTAACTACAATTACGGTTGATTTATATTATAGAAGTTTAATAATAAAAATAAATGTTGAACAAAAAATATATATACGTAAGAAATATGATATATAACTATTATAACTATACAATCAAGTATGATACAAAAGTACTAATACTATACCTATAATATTACTCACATTAATAGTTAAATTCAAATTATAATGTAATATAAATAAATGGACTAATATAATAATATATTAATATTAATAAAATATAAGTATGTTTTAGTATTTAGCATAAAGAATACATACCTTTAAAGTAGGATAAAATATATGATCAAGATAAACAGGAAGTAATGATAGAAAACCTTCACTGCCAGCTGTGCTAATGGTGTAACATGTATGATCAACATCTAAAATATAAATTAACTAATATTAAACTTGAAATTATTTAAAGACATTTTTTAAATATTATTATCACCTGTCCAAGCATTTGTACCAGATGCAAGGCAGCGATTAGCCAATAAATCAAGAACTCCTTTAAAAGGATAATCTTCAGATCCTAGAAATATTAGGTGTTCTAATGTATGTGGTATACCATCATCATCATGAGCTTCAGTAGCTATAAAATGTATAAAAAAAATTAGTTCTAATCATGGATCAGGGGTCGAACTCATAAGACTTATTTCATTAAAATATATTTAGCAAAAATATTATAAGTAGATACATAAATACAGATTAATACATTTTAAAATTTTAATCATATTTATTATATATATCATATATTAATAATATATTTATAATTCAAACGGACAATATTCAATTTGCAATACAGTAATAATGATAACAATAATAACAAAATAATACTTTACAAAAAATGTTTATACAAATTAAAATAAAACAGTAGCATAAATTATTAATTTCATGGATGTATACCTAAATAGAAGAAAAAATGGCTAAATTTATAGTAGAAAATAATATTAAGGAAATTGTTATGTTAATACAATGATTATTTGAATAGTTTATAAGGAACTTGGTTGTTTCCAGGACACATCAAAATATTTAAGGGATCATTTAAATTTGTGGGAAATATAAAATAAAGAACTATTGCGAATGTTATGGATATTCATTTTAAAATTGATCCAACTAACTAAAAATGAATCATCAATCTTGATATTTAATAATTTAAAAAGAAAATTGCTTTAAATAATATTTCTATGTGTTTTTAGAGATTCTACATTTAAAATTTTTAAAATATTTTCGTATAAGGTGTGAGGAGTTTTTAGTGTAATAGATTTAAAGCATATGAATTGAAGGATTTTATTTTGCACTATTTTACATTATTTTTTATTTATTTTGTCACTATAACCAATGCTATTATTTTCCCAAATTTGAAGAGTATATTCAAAAGTTGAGCTGATAACTAAAGTTTAAAGACATTTGAAAGTGAGGAGGTTGTGGAATTTGGAACAATTTAATTTTATCATACCAAAAACATATATTTATTGTAATCGTGCATTTATTGGTGAATATATATTATTATTATATTAAAAACAAATAAGGTTTTATTATTAATAGTTTATATGGATGTGTTCAATAATAGATTAGTAAAAAATAAATAATAATTGAATATATGGCTAAGTCTTTTATCACATTAGCACATACTAAACTAGTGTCTGAAATAGAATAATTAAAGCTAAATGTCTTATAGTTTTTAGAAAATGACACAATTTGGTATTTTTCAATGTTAAAGGAAACACCATTCATTAAATTTAATTAAATCTTTCTGTAAGAGTAAATTATTATCATGGGATGAGTTTGATTTATAGATTTTTGCCTCATCAACAAATAAAAGAATACAAGAATTAGTGATGGAAAACAACACATCATTAATAAATAAGTCGAAAAAAAGAGGAAAAAAATGATCCCCTGAGGAATTCCAAGTCACCTTTAAGGGAGTTGATATAAAGCTTTTATACAGAACCAATTGTGTTCGTTTACATAAAAATGAATTAATCCATAACAAAAGAGGATCAGCAAAGTCAATATGATGAAGCTTATGAGTTAATAAATCATATTTCACTATCAAATGGCTTTTTAAAGTCTGTATGTATAATATAATTTTATCATTCTTTAAGGAAAGGATTAAGAGATTTAAAAGAATTAAGTATATGTTTGATAGTTATTAAGTTTGATACCAATGATTTATTATTACGAAACCCATGTTGCTACTAATATGTTTTTGAAGATAAGAGAATATTAACATATAGAGGATCCTCAAAGGTTCAATATATTTTTAATAGATTGCAGCCCAAAAAAAAGTTTGGTCCCCCTTAGTGTATATAATTTGATGTCTTATAACATTAATGTAGAGTAAGCAAATTTTCGTAATCCAAGTGCACTCTGTAAGTCGATGTAATAACATAAAATAAATGTACAGGTACTACGGCAGCTGCTTAAGGGGGAAAGTAAAGAAGAAGAGATAGACTTACCTAGAGTGAAGTATCCTTGTACTAGTGGTCCTTCGATGTCACCGAACACGATGGTCATGCCAGTACGCCGACACTTGTACTTATACACCGGTATCACAGACTCAAACTTTGAATAGCTGACCAGTTCATACCGGGAGGCTATCTTCTCGCTGATCGTCAATTCGTCGGAAAACATTTTGCATTCGTCGCTCATGAAATCGAATTATGTATCGGACTGGTAGTAACGGACACACGGCAATGAATGGCGGACGGACGGCGACTATATGATTACGAAAGCCGTAGATGAATAGTTCTTTTTTCTTTTTATTATTTGTTTGTATTGAAGACAACACGAAGACGTACACAAGTAATAAATAGAACGAACGCGTTTAAAGCCGAACGTTAACAGTGCGAGCTACGGAACAGCGATACCGGATGACGGATCAGTTGTTTCCATGGGGGGGGGGAGAGCGGTGGCGCGATCGATCGCGTGATTCCCAACGTGACGAGACAGTGCCGGCACATTTCGGCGTCACGGCACTTATTTGACATCGAAATTCACATTCAGACAATCAAGTTGCCGTATTCCAATAACTGTTATCTATAAATCTTCGCAGTATTCAACAACAGATAATAAAGATTTATTGCCTACGAATTCAGCGACCGTTTAAAAACTGCGTATCTGTCTTCGATTGCGGACACGGACATAGATAATAGTTTAAAGATTTTTTTTAGATAATAATAATAGTCTATTATCTATATCTGTGATTGCGGATAATCTCGTTAACGAGCATTTATCACATTGATTTGATACCAGGAAAAATACCTATAAGTAAACAGGATCAATTTGTTTTTTCGTTCTGGCGAGTTAATAACCCAGTGACTGCATTAGCTTACAATTCTAATTGCTGCAAGTTATATTGATGTTACACATTGTTGTCAATCTGGTTGAAATTTGATGACCGCGGAAAATAATAAACAAAAGACTAGGCAAAACAATTTTTATTTTCGTTATACAAACTAGTTATTACAATTTAATAAACAAAACAAAGTAATGATCTTAATTTATTATTAATATTTTTATAATCTTTTTGTAATTTAGCAACTGAATCCAATTATACCTTCCTTAAGATAATTGCTCTGATAACGGTTTTGGTTATTTTCTAAGTCATTGATAAAAATGAAACGCTTTGTACATTACTTTTGAATTATTTTAACTGTTCCCAGAATAATTGCAGTAATTCTTGTTTTTTAAGAATGAGTGTTACTTTTTCACTTCAATGTTTGTTAAAATCTATCAAATATTTTTATTTAGTATAGTTCTTACCTAGGTACTTAAGTATCAAAGAAATTTCTTTTTAGAAGATATTGAAGCTGAGGTTGATAGATTTGTTTCTGATAGTGTCTTCTACTAGTGATGGCCATAATCAAATTGTTTTAATTAGTAGCGTTAATTGGATCCAATTTCTGGTGGTGCAGAGGCATATTCTCAACTTATAATTTCCAACACACCAATTTTCCAATTACCTAAGTGAAATACTTCCCAATAAACTATATTTTCCCTTATATTTTTTTAAATAGCAAAAAATCTTGAATTATTTTAGCAGTAAAACCTTTAATATTATAATATTAATAAAAAAACAATCAAATTTAGTTTTTTGTATACTGATTTCCTTGGCTCTTGAAAATAATATTATAGGTATTCAAATTTCAATGATTTTTTGGTGGTGCAAAAAAATATCTTTGCACCACTACATTTTAGATGTGGTGTAGCAAGTGCCACATTTGCACCACCCAACTTATGCCACTGATTTTGATAACCAAGAGAATCCTATTAAAAATCATTTATTAATTTGATAAAAATTAATGATTATTTTTATTAATCGAGATAACTAATTGAAAAAAGTACTCGTAATATTAATATACTTATAGTAAATAAATAATCTAATTTTGATTTTTTCATTTGTTAATGTAATATTATTGAGTAATTAATTAAATTGTAATTTAGGAATAATGATAACCATTTATTAATACTGCATTATGTATAAGTATTTTAAATAAAAGACAAAAGTTTAATTTTATTTTTTTCATTAATAATTATTGACTTAAATTTAAAGTAATTTACTGGTCTAAAAAACTCTAAATTCTTAATTATGAATAAAATGTACCTATTATACCTTTTTATATTTTTAAAATGAAACATAATTAATATTTTACAAATATTTGTAGTTTCTAATTCAGTTAAAAGTTAACTGTGCATTTAGGTAAAGTTTCAAATATAATTTATGAAATATCTTCCAAATTGAAAAATAACAGTTATGTATTAAGAATATAATATTTAAAGTTCATATTTCATAATTAGCAAGCGACATTGTGGTTCAACCATTTTATGCTGAAGCAAATATATACTATAATGGAAACTGTAATGTATTATTTCTATATGTGTACTATTTTTCAGATTTAAAATATACTAATTTGTTTATTTGATAATTGTACTTATAATTGAAATTATTCGATTACTAGATTATAAATCTTAATTATGTCCATTACTAGTATCTACTCACTAAAAACTTAGAATAGAACCTTGAGTATATGATGCTAAGAAAAGTTAAAAATAAATTTGACATACTTTAGATGAAAATAAAAAACTTCACTTTCAGTAAATTTTTTAAAAAAAATATCAACTCATTGATCATTGTGTAAAAGCTATATCTATTTTATACCATTTTTATACAATGCTTAGATTTTTTTTTTGTTCTTTGAAGTTATATTGTTCTTTATAATCAGTACAGTATCAATGTCATATTATGTATGCATAATCAACTATGTCCTCTAATTTTTCTTCAAGTGTAAAAAATGTGCTGTTTACTCTAAATTACATTATATATTAACTGGTAATTGTTTTATTTCAAGCTCTAGACATTTTATTTGAAAATATTACTTGTTGTTTAGTGTTGTATATGCCACGTTTGAGTTTAAAATATAAATCAAATATTTCATCACTAGTCCAATTCTCCGTCAGTTAAACAATTTTTAATACTCTTTGTAACAAAATAAAGTTAAAAACGGATTGTGTGTGTGACGTGCGCCTAAAGTATTTATGTGTGTTGTTATGCGGTGAACACGTTAACACACGTACATATTTAGTGCCGAACGTAAAAATTTACGGTGAATACGACGCACAACATACATTTTTACTAGTGTAAACGCGGCTTTATATAATAGTAATAATGTTGAGGCACGAATTCACGATGGCATGGTATTTATATATTATTTATAGAGATTACAAATAAATACATTTTAATTTTTAGAATCTAATAAGGAATCATTAAAAGTATTCATTAACTAGTAGGTATTCCGTAGTAAAAAAAAATTTATTTAAAATAATACAAAAAAATATATATTAAAAAAAAGTATTTGAATAGATTTATTTAAATAACTTTTATACAAATACTTTATAACACTTGTTCTAGTTTGCTTCTAAAATTTTTTAATCAATACAAAAAAATATATTTTATAAAATATGCTCCTTCGACACTGCCTTTTGTAATTGAAGATTTGAATACAATGCCCGTTTAAAAAAAATAGAATAAACTGATCATGTTATTTAAAGTATTCATATAAAAAGAGCTTTTATATGTTTGGTTTAGAACCTATGGTATAGAAATTAATTGGTTTGGAAGCATATTATGGATTTTATTCTTAAAAAAATAAACCATTATCATAATCTAGTTTATATTTTTAGTACAGAATAAGTATTATAAACAGTTATCTAAAATTACAATGTAACTATGTTTTTATTTTAAGAATTTAAATTAATTTAATTTGTATGATAATATATTAAATATAGTTGTGTTCATTAATTTGAAATTAAATATCTAAACGTAACTTAATACTTCAGTTATGAAAAGTGACTTATTAGTTATCACTTATATATTAAATTCCATAAATTAAATTAAAGATGATAATCTATAGATTATTTAACATCTTACAAAACCAATAAAAACAAAGTAATAAGAATGATATTAATTTTATTATTATATAAAATAGTGTGCAAGTTATTTGCTTATAAGCCAATCATTAACTTCCTTCATAGTTTTTTCTGCTTTGTCAGCCAAAACATTAAATGATTTAGCTACTTCATTAAACGACGGCAATTCATCCAAACAACTAAAAAGAATAATTTGTTATAATTTTATCAATGTTTACATATAATAATCATAAGTTACCTATTATACATGTTGGATTTTGAATGTTGGTTATCAGCTAGAAATCGATTTTGTGATTTTAGTCAAGTACTAATTTATATACTAGGCGTACGAAATAAAATATTACTTGGTTGTATAATAGAATAATAAGTGTCGTATTTTTCTGATAAACTTATTTCGTCGATTTGAAACTTTGAACCATCTGTCGACATATGTCTATCCTGCATTGACGCAGTTGACGAATTATCTTCGGAAAGTCTGTAATCGCTTAATCGTTCTAAAGACACCAGTGAATTTTGATCGTATCCCGCACACTGTCTGGACTGAGTAGGTGATTTCGATTGGGATTTGACGTATTCTTCACACTTGGCAGCTGAGAAAAAAAAACCCATGTATAAAAGTATAAATTCTACACCAAAAGTTAAGTCACATATGTGTCCATACTTTTTCCTTCGTCCATTTTTTTAATAATTCCTTCTAAAAATTCCGGGTTGGTCGACAGACGGAAATTGTCTGGATACAATTTATCGAACACTCTGATTATCTCTTCGTCTATTTCTAGTTGTGTTTTTTCATGTTCGTGAATTAACCTGCAGAAGGTCAAAATTTTCAAGCTTAGCTATCTTTTGATTAACTCGTTCATTCGTTTCTACTATGACTTCGAATATTTTTGATTAATTTTAAGATTTAAATGTGGTTATTGTAGTAAAGTCATATCAGTTTTCGATTCAAATGTTGGGTTAATTATTTTAAAAGTATACATTTATACTTAAAATGATTTATTCATACGTCAGATCCAATTTGCTACTAATGATTCAATTTATATAGTAAATTTTATAGTGAATTCAATATGTTATTTACCGTACATTTTAATTTGTTATTAAATATTATTTATTTATTCTTCGTCGGGCGCTACTACATAGGTCACTACTATCTATAATAAAAAGCATGCATTTTTAACTGTGTATGATATATATTGTTCTTTTTTATGCTAGTCCCCATAAACTTGTATTGATACTCAATGTTCCAATATAATAAAAACATAACAGTGTCGATGGAACTAAGTATAACATTTGGTACAAAATAAATGGACCTTATCAATTGAGATTGACATGTCAATGAACGGATTACATAGAATAAATGTAAAAAACTCCACTACACCACTGTTCATATGTATGTTACGAACATACATATGTGTACACCCTTACGATTACTATTAAATGTAGAGGGGATCACATAAATAATTTTATATATCATTAGTATATAGACATCAGTAATTGCAACAACTCAAATACCGTAGGGTAGAATAATTACGCAAGCGAATATATACCACAGGATGATCTATCATTGATTTGTAAAATACGTGAAAGGTAGTTGTGCCAAAGGTAGATATCGTGAGGCCAACCATTCTATATATAATGGATAGTCCAGGTATCCAGGTAATCCATAGTAATAATTATTTGATTGTGTAGTTTTTTATTAAAACACAAATCGCACATTGTTAGCAAAATACTGTATTGGCAATAATGGGAAAACGAAATACGAAGAGTTCATACAAGGCCGGGGTATTAATTATAAAATATACATTTACGTAAAACCATATCCGTGTCAAGCGTATTACCCTCTTAAAAGGACTACAGTCTCTTACACAAGGACGGGGTATATAGGTCCCAAACAAACCAATAATCAGATGTGTTACAGTCCGATCGTAGCAAGTACCTTCGCACCAGTCAACTTTTTAAAAATTAAATGTTTGGACTTAGAATATTTTATAATAAATGGAGTTTAACTTAATTTGAGTTAGGTATTATTTGAAACATCCTATAACATTTCCTAATCTCATAACCGTTGAAATGATGGTACGCAACATGTAATACAAAATGTATAGCTGTTAATATATAGGCACTAAAAAATTAATTTAACATCGTTAATTTAAAATCTTATGCGAGAACCAATACATAAATTATCAACACATTTTGTTTCACACTAAAATTAATCTTTAGAAATTAGCAAGATAACAACACACTAATTTAATAATTATGCATAAGCATCATTAGTTATTACCAATCGATGCAACAATCAGCACCAGGTATTGTATCTCCTGTTAATAGACTTTTGCCGTTCCATTTGAATCCTAATTCTATACCAAGGTTTTCTTGGTCCGTGTCTAAAATTTTACAATGGTCTGAATTGTTCTCGGAATGCCTGTAAAATGATAAACATGTCAAAAATTGTTTTTATATACTTTTACCTACAACAAGAGAGCGCCCATTATGAGTAGGTAGGTAGAAGTAATCTTAGTTTATTACATTAGGTATCTACTATAATTTGGTTACATTTCAAAGACGAACATTTTCGTTCAAAATAAATTGTTTCTATACATTTTAAATAAATAATTTTTTTTTTTTTTTTTTTAATTTAATTTAGTGTTTTCATGTTCTTACGATACTAGAATTGATTCAATATTATTATTTTATACAATAGTATTACCTAGTTAATTATTTTGGTGTTATGGCCTTATGTCTCAAGCACAACCCTATAGATCTACATATCATTTAAGTAGCAGAAGTATTGAAATGTGTATTAGTGCTATGTTAACGCGACTTAAACAGCGCGCTGTTATCGAATTTTTAACAGCTGAAACTCCTTCTGAGATACATCACATTGAGATATACGTACCTTGAATATTCTCGTATGGTTCGCAATACGTTTTTGGATAATTCGCCGGGCATTTTGAATCAAATCGTCAACGAGTTGGTGATGTTCATCGCCTGTGACAGTAATTGGACGTCTGCTTCACGTTTTATCATCAATTATAGTTTTTCCATGCTCGCAACCACGAAATTTTAATACCCATCGATTTATAATAGATTTATCAACAGTATTGTCATCATAAACAGCCTTTAAACGACGATGTATTTCGGTAGGAGTCACATTTTAAACTATTGAAATTTCCATAATAACGCGCTATTTAACTCGTTTTGACAGAGCACTAGAACACATTTCAATACTTCCGCTATTTAAAACTAAATGGTAAACCCAACGCTTTCAAATTGTGTATGCGCATAGAGGGAGAAAGTAACTTAAGAATACCATCAATCACGCTTTTGTAGGTTATTTTGTTTTCGTTTTACAAGCATTTGTGCATTACTTTTTAATCTACTTTTGTATATATATATATGTGTTACAGTTAAAGTGTTGAATTAATTAGTTTATGAAATAACCAGGTATTTTATAAAATAACTAAAGCTTGTAGGTAATGTACATAATTTATATTTTAACTAGTTATTTTATACATTCCCTGTCATCACTTCGTTAATGTGTCAAATTGTAAATAACAAAAAATCATGATACATATAGTTTTAATATTTTCAATAATTTAATATAACATATTAAATCAGATAAGATTGACGTTATTTTTGTCTGTGACCGTAACGAACGCTTATCGTGTTATTATAAGATTATCGTTTATCGTATTATTATAAGATTTTCGTTGTTGGTATTTGATACATGTATTATACAGGTTTAAAGTTTAATAATAATTTTACAGTCACACGTGTTCGCTGTTTGTTCGTCTGTCTCTACACTATTATTTTAAGTATTAACTATATTGTTCACAATGAATGAATTCAATTTAATGAAAGAAAAGTTTTATATTAGTGTTAAAAATAGTTTATTAAAATCAATTAGTGTAGTTTTAACAAAAGAAAAATATGCAAGTTTGATGATAGACGTGAAAAAAATGAAAATAAAAAAGGAATCTTCTCGTAACTATTGGTTAGAAAAACATTACGATATTGTAAAAATAAACAGCATTGAAAAATTAATACTACCCGAAAGTAATCAATGTAATTGACTTAGTTTAAATAAAAATTAATTAATTATTCATAGCTGAATTATTCATGGCTGGGCACTTATGGAGAGAGAATGGCATATGCAAGCAAGTTCTGATGGGCAGAATCAATGGTAGAAGACCCAGAGGCCGCCCCAGACATAGATGGATGGACACTATAAAATCAGACCTAGCAAAGATTGCACCAGAGACAGAACTAGCAGGAAGTGAAAATAGAGAGAAGTGGCAAGAAATTGTGGAAGCAGCGAAGGCCCTCAACGGGCTATAAAAGCTAAAAAAAAAAAAAAAAAAAATTATTCATAGGATGACGTTACTGACGTAGATCGACCAACAGTTGACACAAAAAAAGGTATAGTTTATTTAAATATTTCTACGGTAGGTCAATTATGTCGTTTAGCTAAGCTAAATTAGCTTTTTGTATATTGTAATTATAAAAATAATTAAATGTTTTAAGAAGAAGAAAAAATCTAGAGAAAATTTGGAAAAACAGGCAAAAAGAATGAAAGATTTATCAAATACTAAATTTTCGGTTGCTAATATTGGTTCTATAGTGTGTATCAAAAATTTCCGATGTTGATAAGGTGATCCTCATTCAATTATTGCAGTTGTTTCAAAATTAACTGACGATTGGTTTTATCAACTGGGATGCAATGATGGTAAAAAAAAATTTAAATAATACAAATTATTTTTTATTTTTTATTTATTTGATACCTTACCTATACATTATAATTACAGGAATGTTAAAACAACTATACTCTAGATCCCAGTTTACAGTATGTTCAGAAAATTTGTTAGCTGTAGAAGCTGTTTCAAATGAAAGTACTACATTAAGATCTGCGGCAACTGCGCAGTCACTGGGAACTGGTCAGGGTTTTTTTAAGTGAATTTGTACCAAAAAATGTGACACAGAGCGATGTGTTTGTAGAAAAAAAAAGGGTATTGTGCAACACTAAATGCCATAATAGCCTGTAATAGCATGTACAAATAAATAAATAATATAACTATAATTAATTCATAATTCAGTAAAATAAAATATTTTAATATTTATTTTAAATTTTAATGTATTTTATACTTTAATGGATATCAAACTGAAATAGTATTGAATAACTATATATTCTATAAAATAACTGGTTAAAGTACAATTTTCGTGTATTATTTTATACTTTAACTAACATTCGTAGGTAATTCATGAAGTACCTATTTATTTCATACAATAACGGAACTCAACACTTTAGCTGTAACATATATATATATATATATATTACGGGAAATATTGAATACCGAGAAGAACACAATGTATACATTGCTCGGGCAATTTATTCCTGTCCGAGCAATTTCAACATCGAATAGAAATAAATAATTTTTTTTTTTTTTTATTGATTTAAGGCTTCAACAACAATGGTAATTAGCCAACTAAAATTATACAAAAATAAATAATTGTTAAGCTTATAAACTTAAAATAATTAATAACAATAACATATTAATTAATTTATTAATAATAAACTGAAAATTTTTTTACTAATAATTTCTTATAATTTTATTATAATATAGAACAAAGTATTAAATATCAGTTAATATTTCTTACTCACTATTTATATTATTCTATGTTATATTTATTGTTTTTCCATATCACATTGATAAAAGTAATAGTTACGTTGATACAATTAGACAAAAATATAAGAACAATAATTGATATTTACCAGGGCTTAAAATCGTTTCTAATAAAGTTGGTAGTCGGCTCCAGTAGGAGCCGAAAAATTTTTAAAACCGGTATCCGGTTATCGTTTAATTTTGATATTATGGTAACCGATAACCGTTTCTATAAGGATATTTCAAAAACTAAAATAACCGTTAATCGTTTAAAAGCCGATGATGAAGTTTTTTGGGAATTGGTTACCGGTTAAAACCGGTTTTTAAAAATCATATTTTTCAATTTTTTAATCATATTTTTAAAATCATTTATTTAGGCGATTCGTGGGTTGATAATATAACTTTTATTATTACTAAATCAAAAACTTAATATCATTAATTTGGTCGATTTCACTCAATTTTAATATTTATTTTTTCAAACTGCTTTAAAGTTTAAAACATATTATGATCAAGATAATGATAATCAAAAAACTAAATTGCATAAAAAAATGTTATTGTTATAATTTTCTTATTTATAACGGTAAAAAACCGAAATTAAATATAATAATTTTCTAAGATGACACTAAGATTGATACATTGCCACAGAACTTTTTGGTTATATTGTGTATAATATAATATTGTGTACCCCAAAAAATGGATGAGCAGATATTAAAACAACAGTATTAAAATATCATAAATACTAAATGGACTAAGCCTCTATCAATATCAATATCCACCAACTATTTCGTAATAGGAATCAGCGCACCACGACGACGACGTTTATGATGGTATTTATAATGTATAGTTATACCTATATATAAAATATTCACAATAGATAAGCAATACTTGACGGTCATTAATTGGGACTATTTGGGGCTAATTAATTATAAAATATATTTAAAAACAGCTGGAAAATTAAATTCAACTATAATCTATAATATAAAAATGAATCGCAAAATGTGTTGGTAAGCGCATAACTCAACAACGCCTGGACCAATTTGGCCAAATCTTTTTTTCAAATGTTCGTTGAAGTTCAAGGATGGTTTTTACGGCGAGAAAAATTAGAATTATTGCTGGAAAAACCCTAAAAATAGCCCTTTTTGACCAGGTCGATAGCTGCACAATTGAAAATGAATTATTAAATAAAACTATTAAAAAACTATTAAAAAACTATAAAAAAAACTATTTAAAAACTATTAATTTTATTTTTGGTAGTAAATAACGGTTATTGCATAAATATTAAACAAAAAAAGATCCCGCAACAGGTGTCAAAACAAATAAGAATGTTAGTTCGAAAAATTATTATGCATATCGGTTGATGATTAAACGAGATCAAGACAAAATTATTCTACGATATCATGAGCTTCGTCAACAATTCATGGTCGAAATGTATGTAAAGACAGAGAGCGAACGATTTTGATATTTGCGATTTAATCAAAAAAAGCTGCGTGCAGAAGATTCTCAAAACAATTGTTAGATATTGGAGATAGGAAAGTTACTACAGATAAAACGGAATGTATAAAATTACCGACCGATTTCTGCACAATCATTTATTCGCAAGATGCTCTCATTGACTAGATATTTTCCAATGTACACAGACAATACATAAATCATGAGTGGCTGGCAGAAAGGGCAATTTTAGTAGTAAAAAATGTGGACGTCAACGAATTGAATCTCAAGATAAACATTTATTACCAGGAGACATGGTGTCATACAAATCTATAGATACAGTTTGCTATGCTACTGAAGCTGTAAATTATCTAACAGAGTTTTTAAACTCATTGGACTTACCAGGCATGCCACCGCATAATTTACAATTGAAAGTTTGTTCTTCGGTTATTTTGCTTCATAATTTGACCTACCACGGTTGTACAACGACACGCGATAAGTTGTTAAAAAATTAATGAAAAATGTTATCGAAGCCATAATTTTAAATGGCAAATTCCGAGGTGAAAATATATTATTACCGCGAATCTCTATTATACCCACAGATGTGCCAATACAATTTAAACGCTTTAAATTTCCAATTAGATTGGCATTTGCAATGACTATCAATAAGTTTCAAAGCCAAACAATGTCTGTAGCTTAGATTTGAGCACATCATATTTTTCACACGGATAATTATACGTGGTGTGCTCTCGAGCCATCCAGTTTGTGTTTGCGAAAGATGGGATTACAAAAAATATTGTACACTCTGTTGCATTAAGGGATAGATATTGTTTTTTACTTATATTGTCATAATTAGCGATATATATTATTTTAATGGATCAATTTTAATAAATTACTAAAAAAATAAATGTTTGATGTTTTTTCATTTTTATATTTCGTTACCATTCATAGCACGCCATATATCTTCCTTACATCCTTATCCTTACCCACATTCTTACATGCCTATATTTAATTAGTTATTTTTTTCTAGCAAAATATTCTCTAGAAATAATTTATATGACAAAACAACGTTTGTCGGGTCAGCTAGTAGTATAATATAATCATGACATAATTCAAGTATTAATACCACGAAAAAACCGTTAATTATTTTGATCGGGAATTGGTTTTGGTTATAAAATCGATATTGAAAATACGAGGTAATCGCTTTGATGTTAATATTTAGAAATTTACCTTGATTTCCGATAACCAATAACCGCTTCCAGCATTCCAAAACTAAAAGCGGTTGTGGGTTTTCGGTGATTAAATTTACGGTTTTTACCGGTTTTCGTTTCAAATCAGTTACTGGTTTTAAGCCCTGATATTTACGATTAGGCAGTCGAGTTTTCGCACTTTTCAAGATATTTTATACTTTGTAATTATTTATTTATATTCGAGGTTCAAATTGACTGAGCAATGCGTAGGTACATTGTCCGGTACTCCATAATGATCGTAACATATATAATATATATTAGTGTTGGCCAACGATATCGATAATTCGATACGATATCGATATCGTTGATATTTTCTTAATAATTTCGATACCGATATCTAAAAATAATTATCGAAAATATCACGATATCGATGTAATTAATCGGGGCTCGGGATTTTACGAACGATTATATTATTTTCGGTATTTTTAATTAAATTGAGTAAACAGTATAGGTATAATAAAATTATATCTATAAAAGTATAAAGTAGATACTAAATTATGATATGATATGGTCCTATCCTTATTAAACAATTTAATCTAAATTCAATGTCGGTTGTTAACTCGCAGTGAGACGTCGTAATTATTTTATTTCGTACTTTATTTTATATTTATATTAAATAAAATGAGTGAAAACTTTAAATTAATACCGTTGTCTGGTGCTAGAAGTGATATGTGGCAACATTTTGGATTTAAAGTTAATGAAAAGGGAATTATATCAAATAAAAATCAAGTTTTTTGTAAGAAGTGCAAATGTGCTGTTGATTATAGTGGAAATACGACTAACCTCAAATCACATTTTCAGCAATATTCAAGTACAAAACCAAGTACGTCAAACAGTTTGATTCCATATTTTAAGCAAACTCCATCCAAATTATCAAACAAAACTAAACGAATTAAGGAAATAACAAAAAGCCTGATGAAATTTGTTATTAAAGATTTAAGACCTTTGAATATTATAGAAAGGAAAGGTTTTCTTGAATTTATGGAAATAGCCGAACCTGAGTATATTGTTCCTAGTAAACAAACAATAACCAGACTTTGATTAAATACATTGAATACTTTTCAGTTAGTACAAAATAATATATTAATATAATATGTATTTTATAGTTTTAATGTGCTTTCAATAAACTAAATTATATAAAATTTAACTTGTTGTTATGTTGTTATTTAAATCGATATCGATATCGATATTTTTCCGATATCGCGATACGATATCGAAAAAAAAATACGATATCGATAATTAAAAATATATCGTTGGCCAACACTAATATATATTATATATACATAATATTTTAAGTTTACGATATGGGATACGAAAACAATATATCATACTATGGACGCCACATACTTGGTTATCTTATCGTAGGGCTGCTTGTCGACGGCTGCCCTGCGGATGCCTGCCAACGACCGTTCCCAATCTAGCGGTATGGCTTGTACAGCGTTCGTGGGCTGCTTCAGCATCGAGTCGGATTTGAAAAACCACTCATGCAACGGTTGGTCGGACTGCGCGTAATAGCACTGGAGGCCCGCGCCCGGGATCGTCTGGTAAGCGGCGAACTGGCGCTTGTCATCTGACACCGAGGTTGCGATCGCAGGGTTCAACACTGTCGGCCGGCTGAATGAGTTGTTGCTGCAGAATATGTCCCGGGCCTTGGCGACCCATTCGCCCTCGATGGGCTCAATGTGATCCGGCGGAAACTCGTTGAAAGGGTACACGGGCACTCCGTACTCGAGTCCCATGATGAGCAGCTTCACGTAGTCACACTTCACCCGATCGTCCGAATGTTGTCGCAACGCCTTCAGCCAAGACGAATATTTGTAAATAACTGTCGATAACGAAAACGCGCACACGGAAATAATACCAATGAAATGTATTTAATTGACTCGGGTAAAGATAAAAAATAAAGTGATTTCTTAATGATTGCGTAGAAATAAAGAATATATTGTACTAATATAATGTATCCGTCCGTAATTAATATTTGATTGTATACTGCCGTAACCTACCTGTATAAAGTAGCGGCGCGTAAGGGTAGACAACGAATTATTGTCTACCCAAAAATATCAAATAATTTAATTTTAAAAATGAGTTGTTTATTATATGCTACTATACTATATAAGTATTTTATTTCTTTATAATTTTATAAATAAAATGTTATTTACACTGATTTGTCTCTACAGTATCTGTGTGAGTAACGAGTGTGACTAAATATATATTATTAATAAGTGTAATTTTATTTATATCTTATCTATACTGTAATCGCTCCGTCGTCGCCGTCAAATCGATCGAAAAATATTGAATTGTGTCTCACTATTGATGATGGGCGTATGATATGATAAATAGGGGATGCAGTGGGGTATTACCAAAATTATATGTATGAAAGAGACATATCTCAACGTAATATTTTAATAATTTAATTGCATTCCGACTGTGATTAATGGCATGTGTTTAATATTTATAATTTATTCTTAATGAAGTGATAAAAGGTACATTTAAAACTTAATATGTCAGATATTATTGATATTATTTTAAATAAAAGTCTTGGTCCTTTTTTGTATGAAGAAAAATGCAATTTAAAAGGTAAGAGACCAACACCACATTTATCATTAGAATATTAAGAAGCAAAAACTTTAAGAAAATTTCAATTTTCTTGGTATTCAAAATTTAATAAATATGTTTAAATGATGGTGTTTCTGTTATGGCTGGTGAAAAAAAATGGGGTTCAGTTAATTATACAAAATATTTATCCAATGGCTATTTTTATACATTGTTACGCTTATCAATTAAATTCAGAGGTGGACGCAGAAAAAAATTTCGAGGGTGGGGGTTTTTGAAAAAATAAGAATAATTACCGTCAGGCCCGTATTTAAAAATTTGGCGCCATCGGGCATATTATTTATGCTCCCCCTCAAAAAAAAAAAAAATAAATAAATAATAATAATAATAATAATATAACACTTATTAATTCGTCCATAATCAAGATTCTTTAATATTAAAATATAACTTATAAATGAAAATTGTTTAATACTTTTTTTAATTAACACATTAAACAAATTATAACATAATAAGACATACCATTTTCTTTTTTTTATTGTTTTATTTTATTTTCATTAGGTACATCATTTTTAAAATTAATTTTTCTAAAATATTTTGCCGCCTCTGAGATTTGGCGGGGCGGACATGTGCCTACCCGTACCCCTTCTAAATACAGGCCTAATTACCGTTATTTTGAAATCTCGTAATTGACTATTGACCATAGATTGACTATTGTCGATCGTTATCACATGACCATACAACACAAAATTTAGGGAAACCGTCAATCATAATGTATCATTGTAAATAATATTATATCGATTATGTATATTTACTTATTTTTAATTACTGATTATAAGCGACTTACAAACACGCATTATTTTTACAAAGTATTGCCATCATGGAATTTCAAAAATTTGAGTTTTAAGTACCAATACCTTTTAGAATGTTTGGAAAATTACAAATTATTACAAATTCACTTTTCTAACAAAACATTTTTTTTCTAGCATATTTTAATTGTATTTTGAACAATTCATTTTTTTTAAGGTACATAAAGTAGGATAAATACGTTTGAAATTAATCATCCATTCATTTCGGGGGGGGGGAGGGGGTTGAACCTCCAAAATCCCTTCCTGCGTCCGCCACTGATTGAATTTAGTTCTACTTCATAGTGCAAAATCAATAAAAGCTGTTAAATTATTCATAGCAAACCTTACTATATTCCACACATTTTTTAGTAGATCTTCTAAAAGAAGTGTCTTATTAAGAGAGCAAGGATTTCAATTACCAAATCAATGCAATACACGTCGGAACAATCATTCAAGAGCTGCTTTAACTATAAAAACTCATTTCAATGAACTAAAAAATGCCGTATCTCATATAGTTGATGACCCTGGCTGGGATTCTACTTCTGTTTGTACTGCATCTGGTATATTGAGTATTATGAACAATCAAACATTTGTTTAATTATTGGTACTTTTTAGTAAAATATTTATATTTACCGATCACACATTTTGTATTCTACAAAATAAATCAATTACTGATATTAAATATTGTGTTAACGAAATTAAAAGTCTTATTTCATGGTTAAAAGATTTAAGAATGAAACTTCCATACACGATATCATAAAATGTTCCATTGAAATATTTCAATGGATCTGCACGTATTACGTAAAGTTCATTTTTTAGACGATATTTATCAAAAATATCTGGATAGTATTTAAAAATTTGTCTTAATTTTTCTTCTGGAAAATGAACTTAATATGATGCAAAAAATTTTTCATTTATTATTTCAATAAACTCTAGTTTTTCAAAATCTTTAAATCTAATATTTATTTGAAAAACTAGAGTTTATTGAAATAATAAATGAAAATTTTTTTGCATCATATAAAGTTCATTTTCCAGAAGAAAAATTAAGACAAATTTTTAAATACTATCCAGATATTTTTGATAAATATCGTCTAAAAAATGAACTTTACATAATAAATGCAGATCCATTTAAATATTTCGCTCCTTTGGAATTTATTGATTTTATATTTAAAAGTAAGAACCTGAAACATTTTTTAAATATTTTTAATAATTTTTCAAATAAATTATAATTATAATTATAAACATTATTTTAGATGAACTTCAATAAGTATATCAAGAAATCACGAAACTTATTCAATTAGTATTAACTATTCCTACAACAACAGCCTCAAGTGAAAGATCCATGAGTACTTTAAAACGTATTAAATCCTTTTTAAGAAATTAAATGACACATGATAGATAGACTTTTATCTTTGTCTACTTTAGCTATTGAAAAAAAAAATGTTAGGTGGATTATCAAAAGATCTAACAAAACAAAATCGACGGATTGATTTAAATTATATGAAAATATAGTTATTTTATGTAATTTACTTTTTTTATAATGATCTAGTTTTTAAATAAATCTTATATAACACCATATCTTTGGTTGTCTTGTTGTCTATCCTATAAAATTGTTCACGCGCCGCCACTGAACCAATATTTAATTATGTTGGCAATAATCGGGACTAGTGATTATTAATATAATAATGCAACAATGCATTATTATATATGTAAATCATTTATTCCTAATGCAATAAATAATGTAAGCAAATGCAACTTATGTGTTCTCGATATTATAACAATATTATATTATATTTTATAATTGTATAGTATAAATATAATTATAATTATTGTATTTGAATAAAACAACAAAAAACAACTTAAAAAACTAATTAAGTCTTGAATGCAAATTTAAATTTAATGATATATATGCGTATTACTTCAAATCAGATTTACAATTATTAATAACAAGTAATCAACAATGAATTATTATATTATGTTACTGTGCAATAGTCTTAAACTCGTATTTATTAAATTAATTCTATTTCTAACGTTTAAACTGTTTCAACTGTTTTCAAAATTTAAAAAATAAAAAATAAAATACATTGTAAATTTCAATTACATTAGTATATATTTTTCTAAGTCACTGAGCTAAGCTAATAAATAAAATAGTTAAAAATAATAATAGCTGATAAATTTGCTGATTAGCCGATAAAGTTTTATAAAATAGTTATTTCTATTTTAAAAGGAATACTAATTTATTGGAAAACTAACAATTCTTTTTTAACAACAATTTTGCACTTCTGTTCAGCTGCGGGACTACGATAATTTAAATAAAGCATTTGATCAAGTTTAAGCCTAATTTATTTTATATATTAATGTAAATGTTCGTAGCGAACTATTCGATAAATGTTAATGGCTAAAGTACTTTTATCGTGGTTTGTTTTAATTATATTACCAACATTGGAAAAGTCTATAAAATATTTATAGGGTCTACAATCCTCATAATCACCTCAAAATGTTGACAACATTGTAAACATTAAGTACCTACAGAGTCGAAATAATTTCGACTGTACTATTGAATAATATAATCTAATAATACAATATTTATGCTACTAACCATTCGGATCGCCTAAACTTAATATTCTTAACTTGACTATTCGAGCAAAAAATTCAAACATTCCATCTTTATTGCTGTTTTCAGGTTGTTGTGTTTCGTTTTTAAAATTTTTGATTGGAGAATTTGTTGTTTTAATTTTTGACATTATAATGATTTATTTAAAAATTTGTATTGACTTAAAAATTTAGAATAACAATTTAATTAAAAATCGGACTGTGAATTAAAGATATAATTCAACTAAAAACTACTGTTGTCAAGGGAATTTTTCGTATACTGCAAACAAAAACGGGTATCCGACTTACATTTTTATAAATATCCTATCAACCTTTTCTAGTTTGATGGATACCGTTTATATTATAAGGTACACCTATCGTAGAGTAATTGAGTCCACTGCCACTAGTGAATAAAAAACAATTAATCTATTTCCTTTCATATTTTATGGTATTGACAACATTATCGTATACTCAGATTTTTTGACGATTTTTGTAAACATATTTTTCGTTTCGTTCAATAGCTACAATGAAAACATTTTTACATTATTTCCCGCTACTATGTACTGAACGTTAACGTCTGACAAAATGCAAATTTATCAACGACTGAACGATCAGCTCACAAAAAATCTACATTAAAAGAAAACATTTTAACCAAATTCGAGTATTTAGTACACAATTAATATAATTTAATTAACCTATTAAACAAACTAAAACACGGTCGGTAGCTACGAGAACGCGGAGTACGTTGTTTCGCAAACTATAAGCGATACCGGACTCGCACGCGTGCCTAGAGCTATCAAATGGACAGCTGATTTCCATTTTTGACGGAATACATAACTTGAGTTGCGCCGCCGCCTATACCAAACTTCGTTACATAGACA